CAAACTCTGTGAACACTATGCTTTTGATAAGGTTTAACTTACAAATTAGGCACAGTAAGAAATTAACAGCCTTGTGCTCGCTTCGGCAGCACATATACTAAAAAATTGGAACGATACAGAGAAGATTAGCATGGCCCCTACGCAAGGATGACACGCAAATTTGTGAAGCATTCCATTAAAAAAAAAAAAAAGAAATTAACAGCCTTAACTAATAATAAAATTGAGCAATTTTAATAATATACTGTCAGAAACGGTATATGAATGTGGTTTTTCTCTCTCAAAATATCTCACACTATACTCACCCTTTTCATAATGATGACGTGTGACGATCCAACGTCTACGTGATGAGGTGAAGTAAGGCAAGTGACAGGCATTGTGACATAACATTAGGCAACTATGTGAAGTCACTCGAACACATGCACTTTGATACTGCTGTAGTTGATCTGATAACTGAGAAGGCTACTAAGACACGTACAGATGGGTAGCATATACAACGTGAATACATTGGACAAAGAAATGATTCATGTTCCTGGTGGGTGAAGCGAAACGAAGGGAGATTTTACAACAATACTCAGAACAGTGTGCACTTCAAAGCTTAAGAATTATTTCTGGAATTTTCCATTCAGTATTTTTGGGCCATGGTTGAGTATTGTATGAAACTGTAGGAGGCAGAACCAAGGTTAAAGGTGGACTGCTCTGCCTTTACACACTTGTCTTTTCTGTTAGGCTAGGCGCTCCCATGGGTTTGTTCTGTGCTGCATCCTCAGTGCTCAGAACAAGGCCTGTTTCATAGAAGGCACACAGTGAATATTGGCTGGCTATAGGGTGAATCCTCACGTCAGTTCTCTGAGGCACTTCCTCCATGCTAGGTGCTTCTCTAAGTATCCAGTGTCTCGTGTCCTCCTTATATGGCCCGCTAATGCCTGCTTTACAGTCAGCCTACTGAGGCACAGGAAAGTCAAGTGACCTTCCCAGCATTGCCTGCAGGAAGGGGCAAAAGCTCCAGAGTCTCCTCTCAACCATATGATCCACACTTTTTACAGGAAGCAGGCTGAGACGGAGAAGTTGGGCTGCTCAGGGACACGTGGCTAGTGTGCAGCAGAGCTGAGGCCCGGGCCCTGGTTCTTGGCTCCCTAGCTTGTCCTGTGTGCTTGATTGGGCCTTGCCTAGTATTGCTTGGGTAAGAAAGTTCTCTCACATGCCCCTGCCCTTGTCCTAGAGGCCAAGTGGGTTCTAGAAAGTGCCCTGATGGGAGCAGTGCTCCTGGGTGAGGCAGGAATGCCTGGGTTTGTGTCCCTGTGTTGTCCACTCTGCTTGCTGGCTGTGTCAGTGGACAAACTTCAGCTTCTCAGTGCCTGAGTGTTCCCATTTACAAAATGAGGTGAATAAAAGAACCTTCTGCCTGAACCTTTGGGAGGGTTAAATGAGTTACATCACACAGATCAGCCTTTGAGGCTGGAAGTTGTTGGTGGCGTTTAGTGGGCAGGCCTCTCTGAAAGGTGGTTCAGATCACAGCTTTGAAGGGGAGGCGTCCTTCACTTCTGGGCTTCATGGCCTAGTTCCCTTGGTCTGTGAACCTTCCGGAAAGAGGAGCCCCGCCTAATCCGGTCCTCCTGGGCTTCACCGGGAATCAGGGCCCAGCTTTTATCAACTTCTCTCCAGTCTGATGTTCAGACTCCAGTAAAGCTCTCCCACAAGTCGGGAAAGGGGCCTGAGGCCAGCAAGGAGCTTCTGGGTGTGGGCTGGAGTTCCAGCTCCACCATGGTCTGCCATGTCCCTTCCAAAAGGGTAAGGCCACCTCCGCATCAGAACCTTGCATGCTCTTGAGAATTGAATGAGGGCTTTTCACTGCTGTTTGTTTTCTACTAGTGTCTTTTGGCCAGGACAGGGTGGTTTCCCTGGGTGGTTTATTTGGGATGGGGGGTGGAAGGTCCTTAAGCCCCAGCTTTGGGTGGGAGTTCCTCTCTGCCCCAGATACTGTGTTGTAAGCCCTCAAGGGGTGTTCTGGACAAGGCTCTTGTTTTTTCTCTGGAATTCTGAGTGCTGCAACCTTGCAACCTCGGTCCAGTTGGAACTGGATCTGCAGCTGGCCCAGCAGCAGGAGAAGCCCAGTTATACCAGACCCACCTTCTTCCTGGTGGTTTCCTGGCAGGCAGCTCCAGCCAGGTGTGGGATAGAGTGGGGTGGAGTGGGGTAGGACAGCTTTGAACCCCATCCAGTGTCAATGTCCAGTGTCAGTACTGTCCGTGAGGCCAGTGGTTTCTGAGTTAGACCCTGTTAAATGTGCTCTGAAGGCAATAGCCTACCACCATCTCAGCAGCCCTAATACCTAGTGGAGAGGAGTGAGCTGGAAGCAGTGAGCTTGCCACATAGTGGACCTGCTGTCCTTGATGCTATGGTTCTGGACTTGTGCCCCTGGTCCCCACCCAGAGCAGCCCCTCAGAGCTGCTTCCCACTGTGTGTTCTCTCCACCCTTTGTCAGCTGAGGTGGTGCCACACTGTGCATCTTAGTTTGCAGCCTGCTTTTTTCCTGTGACCATTTCTCAGAATCTCTGTATGAGATATTTTTTAATGTGTTCATATCTCTTAGGAGCTCTGTGATTTTTCAGTCCACCACCTCACATTCAAAGTCATCATTGTAAAATATCTAAGAGGACCCCTATGGTCAGTAAAACATGTCATGGCATGTATTCCTACCCACCTCCCTTTTTTGATTTTTGGAAAATAGTAACATTAACATAGGGATTGGGTTTTAGGCTGACTTGTCCAAAGGGGGCATGGGTTAAAGCCAGTTGAGAAATGCTGGCTGGAGGTGGCGGGTCGGGGGGAGATGTCAGTATTGCTCTGCCAGTGTGTGCACCGGCCTTGTGTACAGAGGCCCGGGGCCTTGTGTGCTTGGGCTGCTCCACTCATTCAGTGCCCACTTATTGCCCGGCATGTGCATGGGTGCTTGGGGATAGCCCATTCAGAGCGTATGGAGATCCCTGCCCTAATGGGACTTTGAGGTGGTCCTGCCAGTTATGGGGAGCTTAGACTGTGCTTGGGAGGGCCACTGTGCCCGTGCTTGGTGTTTATGGGTTTATCTTACAGAGCATAATAGAATACTCACACACCTGTCTCACAAAGTGTAATATTGTGGGATCAAGGCCGGTTTCAGAAGACGGAGCCTCCCGTTCATTATCGGGGACCTCTGAGCTTCTCTCCTGCTTGGCTCAGAAAGTCTGGAGCTGAGCAGGAACTGCCTGGTCCATAGGTCCTTTGGGAGTTCATGGCCAGGCTCACAGCATCCACTGTGTTTAAACTTCTTACATTTGTTTTTGTTTTGTTCTGTTTTGAAATCTGTGCCTTAGTTTCTGCCTTTGTAATGCAGGAGGTGTGGATGGTTAATAATAGCAAGTGCTCTGTGAGTGTTTCCTAGAGGCCTCTTCTCTAGTCCCCTGACTCCTGGTTCCCCTCCCTGGAGGCACCATAGTGCTAGAACTGCGAGGGCTCTGGTGGGGATGTTTGTGTGCAGGTGAGCATATTACAGAAAGTCTGTATTTCATCACTCCAGCAGCACAGAACTCTACACTGTTCTGCACCTTTCTTTTTCTGCATAAGATGGTTCAGATCCTCCCAAGTCCAAGTACAGCCCTGCTTATTCTCTCTCTCAGCTGCACAGCATCTCACTGCATACGTGTGCCACGAGCATTCTCTCTGCCCCCATGATAGCCCCATGTGAGCACAAATGCCATGCTCCATTGAGGCTAGGGTGGCAGCATCTGGAAGTCATGCCACATTTATGTAATGCCAAGAAATAGTGGTGCCTGATTAAGTCAAGACTGCCTGCCAGCCATGAGATGTGTCCACAGCCCAGCATGTCAGACATGGAACCGTGTACATCACAGGGCTGATAGGAACAGTTGTGCTCCTGCCTGATACCGAGGAAATGCAGACTCACAGGGAGGGCAGTCCAGCAGGGTGGGCCAGGGTCAGGCTTGGAGGCCCAGTCGTGACACTTGTCCCTCTCCATGTGGCCTTGGCAGGGCCTCCATGCTGCAACAGCACTTTCCATGGGGCGGTTCTGGAAGATGTGCGCGTTGGGTATGACCCATTCTTGGTTCTTGGCGCCCATCCGGGCTTGCTGCACTCGTGTGGCTTGTTCTTATCAGTGGGGTCTGGGGCGCTGGTCGCTTATGCTCTCTTTGAGTTTCACATTCTCATTAAATGCTTTCTGTTTTTTACTGGTCATGTGACTGTTTTCTAGATACACAGGGGTGTGCCACCTAAAATTACTGTGTGGTAGGTAAAAAATGAGGGGATGTGGGCAGTTTAGTGTCATTCAGCCTAATAGATATACACAAATTTTTGGTCTTGTTCATTTACTCTTGTTAGAGCAGTTTGCATGTATCAAAAGAAAATTCTTTCCTAGCAACTTCTAAGTCACGAATAATAGAGCTAGTGTTTTGTTCGTAAGCCAGGCTCCCTCTGTTGGGACCTGCCTTCCTATTGGCCACCTTATTTTTGACATCGTTAGAAGGACCAGGCCCTCTGTCTGGGCAGACTGTACCCCTCCGCCCCCAGAGAGTCCTCCCAGTGGGCACCTCTTGCCTTGTAAGATCTTCAGCTGCTTTGGCTCTTGAGTGTTTTCTATTACTCTTGGTTTTCCTTTACAAAACATTGATGTCTTGTAAAGAGGAACACTGGCCTTCTCTCGGGTGCAGGGTGCTGGCTCATTGTTAAGGGGCTGTGAATAAAAGCAGTGTCCCCTCTTTGATTTGTGTCAGTGCTGCCTGATTTCAGGGGTCCTCAGGCCAGGCCACTCTTGGAGATGATACTCTGTCCTTTTTCCCCTCTGTGCAGCCAGAGGCCTGTGCAGTTTCCGGTAGGTCCTATCAGCTTTGCGGGGCTCAGATCTCACCAGTACCAAAGGAGTTTGGTGGCCTGCTTGCCCATAGCTGAGCGGTGGCCCTCAGCTCTCCCAGCCCCAAGGCCTAGGCCTTGTGTGTGTCCCCACATAGGGAGGAGTGGATGCAGGCCATCCAGATGGTTGCCAATAGCCTCAAGCAACGAGGCCCAGGTGAAGACCCCATGGACTACAAGTGTGGATCTCCCAGCGACTCTTCCACATCTGAGGAGATGGAAGTGGCAGTCAGCAAAGCCCGGGCCAAAGTGGTAAGTGCTGAGGCGGGTGACCAGGGTGGGAGCTGCACAGGACAGGAGTCCAGCACAGATATTTCTTGGCTGTCCTGTGGTGTGGGATGGTTTTAGGGTGAGGAGCAGCACTGGGTGAACTGCTCTGGCTTCATCCCGAGAAGCTGTGAAGCCCTAGCCACCCTGTTCAGAGTTCTAGGCCCTACTCTCCAAAGGCCTGCACCTGGGGGAATGAACCTGCAGCCGCAGCAGGATACAGACTGCTGCCCTTCTGGCTCTGGCCTATACTCTTGGGCTGCAGCATCTTTTGGTTTTTCTTGTTAAAATTTCCTCCCACTGGCCAAAAGCCATTTGCTGATGCCTGTGCTCTCTACACCCACAGACAATGAATGACTTCGACTATCTCAAACTCCTTGGTAAGGGCACCTTTGGCAAAGTCATCCTAGTGAGGGAGAAGGCTACTGGCCGCTACTATGCCATGAAGATCCTGCGGAAGGAGGTCATCATTGCTAAGGTAGGCTCTCCCTGGACTGTGGTGGCGGTGGTGGGGGCGACCTAGGGATTATCAGAAGATACAATTACAGGAGATTTCCCTTTTGATCTAATTAGCTTTTTTTGTGATTCTTGAATTGGGGGATCCTATGTTCTGCAGAATGGATTGGGAGCTCCAGTCAGGCAAGAGCAGGGCAGTGGGTTTTGTAAGGTGGCAACAGGGAAACTGACAGTAGAAAACAAGCTAGTTGGTAAATGTCAGGTTACTTCAGGTTGCCTTCTGTAGGAATTAAAGCACAGGGGACCTCCTTATCATGGAATCTCCTGTTTTCCTGCTCTGTTTGGGGATCTAGCTACCTTTCTTCTGGGACCTACCAGGAGCTCAGCCCAAAACAATGGCCTCCAACTTTTTTTTTCTCATGCTAGAGATGGAGCCCATGGCTTCATGCTATCTAGGCAAGAGCTCTACCCTCGAGTCACACTCAAGCCTCCTCATTTTGTTGAACAGGGGCCACTGTATAGTGCTATACCATGGTTGGGAGCTCTTGTAGGGCTGGAACACTTGCTTGTGCCATCTGCCACAAATCCTGTACCCTCGGACGCAGCCCCACAATTCCCCAGTTGGAGAAGTGGAGCCTGGTCCCAAGGTGGAGTGGGCCTGCCTTCGAGTCTCCCACTCCACCCTCTGGGGTATGCTGTGGGTAGTCTGCCTGGGGCCTTACCCAGCAGGTGCTGTGGAGGCTGGAAAAAGAGGTCCCTGGCTATTGTAAAGGGCCAGAGGAGGAGGCTGCTGGATGCTGGATCAGAAGTGGAATTTTGCTTTTTTGCTTATTAAAGGCTTTTATAATAGAATATTCCAAACATTCACAAATTTTGAGAAGAAAAATTAATACAGTGGGCTGCCATGTGGCCATCATTCAGTCCGAGCAATTACCAACATTGAGCCAGTCTTATGTCACTAGCTCGGCCTCCCCTCCCTTCTTTGGTTCTGCAGTATTTTTAGGCAGAATCTAGACATCATATCATTTCATGCATGTATACTTAAAAATGTGTCTTAACAGAGGAAGATTCTAAAGAATGTAATTATACAGTGTGTGATCATACCCAACAAACAGAACTGGGGATGCTGGTGGAATTGATCCAAGGCAAGGCTTCTCAGCTGCAGCATACTGATGATGCTTTGGGCCACATCATTCCTTGCTGTGGGGGGCCGTCCTGTGGTTGTAACAGTTTTGGCAGCATCACTGGTTCCACCCATGGAAACTAATAGCAGCGCCCCCAGTTGTGATTATAAAAACTGACCTCAGACACCCCAGTGTCCCCTGGGCATAAAGCTGCTGGGGAGGGCCAGGGTCCAGGCTGGGTGGCTGAGGACTTCGGAAGCTCCCCTGGTGGTTCTGCTGCCACACAGACACCAAACTTGAGCTTGTGAGCAGGGTATCTTCCCCCCACCCCCCAGTTTCTGACTCAGTGGTGCTGGGCGGGGCCTGAGAATTTGCATTTCTACAAGTTCCAGGCGATGATGCAGCTAGTGTTAGGTCCACACCCTGAGAAACGCTGCTCTAGTCTAGAGCCATGATTAGATCCTGTTCCTTCTTTGAGCAAGAACACTGTGTAGCTGGTGATTCTCATATCCTGTGAAACCTGAGGGGTTTCAAACTGTCTAGTTGTCCCCTCTTTAGGGGTGTGTCTTAGTTAGCCTTGTATCCCTGGGACAAATTACCTGAGGTAAACAACTTATAAGAAGATAGTAGTATAAAAACAGAAAGAGAAAAAGAGAGAAAGGAGGGAGGGAAAGAGAGAGGAAGAGAGTGAAAAAAAAAGAAAGAGGAAAAGAATGATGGTGCATGTCTGTAATCCCAACAATGGGAGGTGGAGGAAGGAGGATTGCAAGTTCCAGGCTAGCCTCCCTGTCTTTAAAAAATAATAATAATTTATAATGGGAGAGGTTTATTTTGGCTCACAGTTTCAGCGGGTGCAGCCTGTGTTCTGTTGGCCCTGTCTCTTTGGGCCTGTGGCAGCACAGTATATCATGGTGGGAGCATATGGCAGAGGAGGCCTGTTGACCTCTTGGGGGCTAGGAAGCAGAGAGAGAGACAGGAAGAAGCCAGGGTTCCAATATCCTCTTTAAGAGCACACCTCCAGTAACCTGACTTCCTCCCCCTAGGCCCCATTTCCTAAAGGTTCCATCATCTTCCTATAGCTCTGCAGGCTGGTGACCAAACCTTTAACACATGGACCATTGAGGGTCGTTCAAGATCCAAGCCAGGACTAGGGATGTAGCTCAAATTTAGGTAGTAGTGGCCTGATCCTGCTGTCCCAACTGTTCATCTTATGGTTTAGAGGGAGCCATGATCACCAATGTCTAGTCCATCATTTGTTTAGGGCTTGCAAATGGCCTGCTCTGCTCCTGCCATTCTTTCTATCTTATGGCTAGGAGTGGAGTTGACTTCACCAGGATGTTGCTTCTCCATGCCTCAGGTTGGTGTGGTGTGGCCCCCCCTCGGCATTCACCCACACTCTCTGTCTGCAGGATGAAGTTGCTCACACGGTCACTGAGAGCCGGGTCCTCCAGAATACCAGACACCCCTTCCTCACTGTGAGTCCTACTCCCCTTCTTGGCTCTAGTGAGCCCCTTTGGGCAGAGTTCAAGGAAAGGCCCAAACCTTGTTGCTGTAGAACTCAGTGTTAGTGTAGAGTAGGTGGGTAGGGCAAGTTGTGACTCTGAATTGCCTGAACCAAGACACTGGGGGAGTGGGGGTGGCTTTTCCATAGGTTGTGGCTTCATGTAAGCACCTCAACTTACACAGGGTAGCCCAAGCGAGCATGGCTGCCATCTTTGTGCATTAGGGATGCTTAGCCCAGCTGGTCCAAGTGAAAAGAGTACGTTTTTTTGTTTTGGTTTTACGATAGCCTAGAAGTAATGTGTTGTCCTGTGTTGTCTATCAACATGCTAAGTAGACATCTTAGGGCTGGTCTCCATCAAAACCAGTGACCATCAGTTAAGCTGACTGGGTTGAGGATGGCTTATGTGCCATTTCTTTAGCTCAGCTGATATCTGAGTTCCCTGTTAAGTCATGGCACTGTTCTAGTGAAGTCTTACAAAGACCTCAGTGTAGAAGACAGAGAACTGGAGAGTGGTGAGCAGAGAGGTCACCCAGGGAGGAACCTTCTATCAGGCTCCCAAAAGCACAGCTTAAGAACTACTGTTTGTTGGGTGACCGCTTATCTACCAACAAGGAGGAGACCACTACTAAGCCATAGCCCCTTCCAGTCTACTCCCAGTGTGTGGGTGTGTCTGTCTGGGGGAGGATAGGGGAAGGGAAAAAGAGAGAGTGTTTAATATATTTTGTTGTTCAAACAAGAGAAGAGCCAGTGGTTCACACCTGTAATCCTTGATATTCTGGAGGTAGAGGTCAGGAGGATTGTGGTTTGAAACCATCCTGAGAAAATAGTTCACAAGAGCCTATCTTGAAAATAACCAACACAGCAAAGGTCTGGTAGACTGGCTCAGGTGGTGGAGCCTAGCAGGTGTGAGGCTCTGAGTTCAAACCCCAGTACCACCATTAAAAAAAAAAAAAAAAGAGAGAGAGAGAATTGGTGCAGAGGCTCTTTGGTTGATCAGAATGTACTTTCTGCCCTGGTTGTGCCTGGGATTTTGAGCCTGGCTGCATGACTCCTGCTGCTCCAAGCTGGAACGTGTACAGGCAGAAGGAGCACACCCTCCTCCCTGGCTGGCAGATCCCTCCTTCTGCCTCCTCCTGCCTCAGCTGCCCTGCTTCCCTCCTATAGGCACTGAAGTACGCCTTCCAAACTCATGACCGCCTATGCTTCGTGATGGAGTACGCCAATGGTGGAGAGGTGAGCCTTGGCTGCCTGGCCAGCCATGCTTTCTGCTTGTGTCTTTCCAGGGTGTTGGGCGGGGAGGCCAAGAGGACCTGGGTGACATGGAGGTCCTGGGAGGCTTAGTGAATGTTAACGGGTTTCCCCTGAGGCAGAGGCATCCTCTTCCATTGAGCAGGCTCAGAGAGGTTTAAGTGATTTGCCCAAATCACACAGCTAGAAAATTGGGATAGGATTCAAACCCTGGCCCTGAGAGGTGTGCAAGGGAAGATGTTCTTGGGGCTTCCAAAGAAAGTATGCAGGGCAGGAGCCCACCAGCCCTTTGACGCCTGCACCTTCACCATGCGAGTGAACTCAGCTGTGCCTGTCACCCAATCTCTCACTCCCACTTGTCACCCACTTGTCTCTCACATCCTTCTCTACATGTGGACATTTGTTTGCTTCATCTGTCTCATTTCTCTCACTCACAGCATATTGTCACTTGTGACTTGGGCTGCTCCTTGCTTCCCTGCTGTCACTGCCTCCCTCAGCCCTCTCCTCATGCTGTCGCCTCCCTTGTTGGCACCAACTGGCTGTCCCTCATTCTTCATCCTTCACTCATTTTTTTCCTGTGTGAACTCTTTTCATCATCACTGCCTTGATCCCTCTTGGTGTCCTCTGCTGTTCATGAAGCAGGTGTCATGGGACTGGGAGTGGGGCTGTCCTGCACAGGGCTGGGTCTCACCTCTTCCCCCACCTCCCACATAGCTGTTCTTCCACCTGTCCCGGGAGCGAGTCTTCACAGAGGAGCGGGCACGCTTCTATGGTGCAGAGATTGTCTCAGCTCTTGAGTACTTGCACTCGCGGGACGTCGTATACCGTGACATCAAGGTGAGCAGGTGGCCTGGGGACGGGTTGGGGATGTGAGCACAGAGCGCCTAGGCCAATCCCTGGCACACATGTGGGACTTACCAGGGAGGTTCTTACTTGCACACTGAGGACCTTTCTGAGCTCCTGTGAATATCCCTCGGCTGTTGGTATGGGTGTCATTTGGCAGTAGCCCATGAGAAGAGAGCTTGGCAGTGTCACTAAAGTGGCCTGCTAGATATCTGCACTCACTGTGTGCACACCAGTTCACCTCAGAAAGTGTGCACACGCTCAGCAGCACTACTTACACTAGCCGAACACCTGCTGCCAAAGATTGGAGGAATGGGCAAGGTGGCTTGTGGCCTTTTTACACAGAGGGATTCTAGGCAGCAGACAGGGAATAGATCACAGCAACACAGCAGCCTGGTCATGTCTCATAGGCTCGTTTCGAGGGGAAAAGGCCAAACCAGACGAGATGAATCCCATATTGTGTGCACAGGTGTACATGAGGCATTCAGACTGTAAAGAAAGGGCTGGAGCTGTAATTTTGTGGTAGAGTACTTGCCTAGCACATAAGGCCCTGGATTCCTGGGGTCCATTCCCAGCACTGAAAAAAAAAAAATCCAAAACCAACCTATACAAAAGGAGTAAAAGCTGCTGCTCAGTGTGGAAGGAGTCGTTAATAACTAAGAAGGGGTACCTCAGGGTCCCAGGGGGCTGCTCAAATTTTTTTCTTGACCTGATGGAGGTTACACAAAGGTTTCACTGAATTGTCCGTTTGTGTTGGATGTTTGTATTCTTTTCCTGGTGTGTGTTTCATAATTAGAAGAAAGAAATGCTTAGGAAAAAATAAAATAGTGCACCTCACACTGGACCTTAAGAAATTGCAGCCCACGTTGCAAGCCCAGGGGAGTTGAGACCCAGGAGCTGCTGGTGTGACAACCACCACCCATGCTGTATCCTCCTTGAGGTAGGGCTTAGGTGATAGGAGGAGGGACAAGCCACTGATACACTGACTCTGCCCGCAGCTGGAGAATCTCATGCTGGACAAAGATGGGCACATCAAGATCACTGACTTCGGCCTGTGCAAAGAAGGCATCAGTGACGGGGCCACTATGAAAACCTTCTGTGGGACCCCAGAGTACCTGGCGCCTGAGGTGTCTGGGGCTGGTGGTACAGAAACATGCAGCTAAGGGTGGAGGGAACCCTAGGGGGCAAAGCTGTGACTCCACTCCCCCTGCCTGGCTGCTCATTGCCCTCCCTTCTCAGGTGCTGGAGGACAATGACTATGGCCGGGCAGTGGACTGGTGGGGGCTGGGTGTGGTCATGTATGAGATGATGTGCGGCCGCCTACCTTTCTACAATCAGGACCACGAGCGCCTCTTCGAGCTCATCCTCATGGAGGAGATCCGCTTCCCACGCACGCTTGGGCCTGAGGCCAAGTCCCTGTTAGCTGGACTGCTCAAGAAGGACCCCAAGCAGAGGTGAGGGCTATTAGCAGCCACCATCCCCTTGGCTGGAGGACTTGGCATCCATAGGCACACTTGCTCGTGGGCTTGCAGTGTGTAGCCCCTGCCCCATGTGGCTTCGTAGCTGGCACTTACGGGCGTTTTCGCATGCCAGCCCCATCCCCGGCCTTCTGTATGTAACACTGAGGAACAGGGCAGCCCTGTTCCTAGCCTGGCATTGCTGAGTTGTATGAGGCCTGTGAAAAGGCCATCTGCCAAGTCTACCTTGTCCCCTCCCTTTCTGGAGTCAGGGTGAGTGTGGCTGTGAGACCACCTGGGACCAGGTTGCTCTGCCTTTGACCCTGAGCCCAGGAGTCCCCACTTCAGTTCCCTCTGAGGTGGTGTGTGGTCATGACAGTCATCAAAGGCTGTGCAGGGCCAGTAGGCACAGGTTCAGGCTCAGCCTTGCCCATGCCACAAGCTCAACTCCCAGAACCCACTGCTCCGGGAGGCGGGAGCTGATGGCCATCTCTGCCCAGGCTCGGTGGGGGGCCCAGCGATGCCAAGGAGGTCATGGAGCACAGGTTCTTCCTCAGCATCAACTGGCAGGATGTGGTACAAAAGAAGGTGAGCTCCCTTACCTGCCCCTCAACAGGAGCCCCCAGGGGCCTCTCCCTCTTACAAGTGACCTGGGGTCCCTGAGTCTGGGCTCTTCTCCTCCGCAGCTCCTGCCACCATTCAAACCTCAGGTCACATCTGAGGTGGACACAAGGTACTTTGATGATGAGTTCACCGCGCAGTCCATCACAATCACACCCCCAGATCGCTGTGAGTGACAAGGGCCCCCTCAGCTGCTGGGCCTGACTGGTGGTGGAAAGGTGGGGTCTCCCTTGATCCTGCTCCCCAGGAAGACCATGGCAGGGTTTGCGTCTGGGTGGTTTGCCTGCTTGCAGCACAGTTTGCTCTTAGTACTCTTTGTTCTGGTGAAGATCACTATGAGCCATTGCATGTTCTGGAGCCCTGGGAAAGAGCTCTGGGCTGCAGGCAGCCTTGGTCTTTGGCTAGATTAGCTCATGAACTCTTGAGCTGTTTGCAGTCTCACTGTGAGCCCACCCGAGGTTGAGCCTGGGACACAGCCCTCAGGGAGCTCCTGGTCCAGGTGGGATGTGACAGCCCAGAGCACTCAGGGACAGCATAAGAGCCCAGGCACTGGGGAAGCCCAGAGGGAATGCCTGGTCCTCAGAAGGGCAGGCATTCATGTGTCAGCTAAGATGTATCCTTGGTGGGGGTGGTGTGGGGGGGTGCCAATGGACAGAGCTCTGCACAGTCAAGAGACGGTGTGCAGGCAGGGAATGTGGGGGCCTGAGAGAGGCAAGAGGGTGTGGGGTCAGAGTTGGGGGGCGGTTCCTATGCCACCAGGGAGAATGGGGACCTTTGCATGGGAAGCTAGGAAGGGCTCTGTGTAGAGGGAGGACTACATCCATGTTACAGAAGGTACCCTCTGCAGCAGAGGGGAGAAGGGTCTGAGCTAGACCTGGGTGACAAGGGGAGAGGAGAAGGGACACTCAGGTGGCGAGGTGAGCCAGGTGCAGGGCAGTGGATCTGCAGAGCATCCCAGATAAGGCTACCAAGGGCCCTGAGGAGGGGCTATGGCTGAGAAGCTCTGCTTGGAAGGAGATTGCTGGCTTTTCTTGTCCCATTTTGAGGGTGGTCCTGCTGCCTGAGGACTCATTCTGTGGTCCCACCACAATCCTTCCCATGGATGGTCCCCCAGGGAGTCTGGTGGGGTGCCTGGGCCCTCTGCAGGCTGATCATCTCCACTGCACCTCCACCCTCCCCCGCAGATGACAGCCTGGGCTCGCTGGAGCTGGACCAGCGGACGCACTTCCCCCAGTTCTCCTACTCAGCCAGCATCCGTGAGTGAGCAGCCTGCCGCCGCCACAGGACACGTGCACGGCTGCCACCCACCACCCGGGTGGCTTTTTAAAACAGACTTTATATTTTGCCTTTTTGGTTTGTGCTCCCATCCCTCACCTGCTCATCCCCGTTTCCAGTTCCTTCTCAGTCCTTGCCCAAACTCAGTGGTCCCAGCAGCTGATGCCTCTAGTCTCTCCTTTGTGCTTGGACTCGTGCTGGGGGACTGTCCACCTCCTGCCCCAGACGGGCTGTTGAGAGGATGGAGATTCAGGTTTTTCAACACCGGCCCCTGTGAGCGGGGAGCATGGAGCACAGACAGTTCCTGCCTAGGTTTCTGGCCAGGGCACTGTACAGGCAGCTGCCTGCACTGCTGCTTCTGGATCGAGGCCACTTCTGGCAGTCTGGCTGCCCAGTGAACAGCTCCCGAGCTGCCTTCCTTGTCCTTTGCCTGGCTCAAAGTTGCCTGGCAAGAGGCAGCCCACTGCATCCCCTATTGGGGCAGAAAAGCAATAATATCTAGGGACAGGCAAAGGGGCTTCAGAGGCTGTGGCATCGGGGTTGAGGCTTCCTCGCCAACAGAGCCAGGTCCTTGGATCTGCGTTGGGGGAATCAGGAGGGTCCACTTTTTCTGGCTCTACCTCCTTCTATATCCTCAAACTGCTCCTCTGCCCCATGGGTGAGGCAGGAAGAGCATTCAGGAGCCAGCCTGCCCACCCTCCAGCCCCGTGCCTTACCAGGGCTTCCTTCAGGCTGCCCTTACCTCCCACTGGATCCTAGGCCTGCCTGGCTCCTGTACAGGGTGGGGGCCGGCATCGTGCCCTTCTCTGCCTGGGGCAGAAGGTGCCAGCCTCGGCTGTTACACATCTCACACCGAGACAGTATTGGGCCCCTGGACTTGGGTTGGGGTGAGTGTATCTCTGGTACGCATTGGTGTCAGGACCTCTGAGAACGGAGGCTCCCAGGCCACCTCGCTCCTTCCCCATCTCCAGGACCCTGCATTCTGCAGCCTTAAGGTGAACATGAGCAAGAGCCCACGCCGGTGCTGTGGGTGCACATGTGTGCCTTGGACTGTGTCAGTGGGCATCCCGTGCTGCTGGGATGCAGATGCGTGTGTGTGTGTGTGTACATGTGTGCGTGTGTGTGCGTGTGCACATGCACACGAGTGTCCGGGTTCTCGAGTGTGCATGGTGTGTGTGGGCTTGGGCCCCACCCCTGGCCTGAGCGTTTCATCCCATGAGGAGAGTGGGTACCGGATCTACCTGCTGTCTCCGCTCCTCTCCCCTCTCCCCCAACATCTCTGGGTGTTTGGAATTTAGTTTTTATGGTTTTGAACTCCCCACCCCACTTCCCATCTAGGCAGTTAATGGAAAGGCATGGGGGAGGAGGGTGGGGTGGGGATGGTTTGGGTGGGGGGTCTTTTTTCCTTTTTGTGTGTGTATATTGTTTATCTGACAATTCTCCCCCATCCCCACTTGCCTTTCCTCCTTCCTCATATTTGTACGGTACAAGCAATAAAGACACTTGTTTCAGACCAGGGCACAGACTGCATTTTGCAGCCATTGCCAGCCTTGCCTTGGTTGTGGAGTCGGCCCCTGGGCTCCACACACCTGTTTTGTTGCTCATCCTGAGGCCCCATGGAGCCAGAGACTAAGCAGGGATGCTATAGCCAAGGCTAGAGAGGGAGGGTTGCTGGGACTGGGTGCCTGGGGTCTAGGGTTGGGGTGTGGTAGGCAGAGGGGCCAGGGAGGACTGGATGGCTATGAGCAAGGACGGTGCAAGTGGTACCTCAGAGCTGTGTGCGCAAGTTCATGGTTCACTTCAGCACTAGAGCCGGCATTGCTGCCACAGCCCTTTCTCTGATTATGCTGAATTAGGAAGCCCTAAAGACACTCAAATCCTAGTCTGATGTCTTGGTGACAATTGTGGTTGCAGGCAGCACCTGGGCCTTTGGTTACAGTCACCCATGGTTCTGGAAACTTCTCTTTCACCCCAGTGCCTCTTTATCCATGTCCCCATGCTAGGTCACCAGGCTACAGGGGCTGGGCCAGGATGCCTCTCCCCTCCCAGGCCCAGGGACCAAGCTGCACAGAGGGCCTGACACAGATGAGTTCATTACAGATTTTGCCAGAGAAGAGGGCAGCACCCAAATAGAGGCTTCCAGAACTTCACTGTGGGGGGTGGGAAAGTCAGGCCCTGGTGCAGAGACCTGCGCTAGCTGCCTTAAAAGACTCCTGGGATGGGGGTGGGAGGGGTTCTACCTTCATATGAACCTGTTGGCTTTAATTACAGAAGTATGCCCCTATGGTCATAAGGTAGAGACCTATAAGGAAAAGCCTTGGGCTGGTGGAGTGGCTCAAGCAGTACGAATGCCTGCATGAGGCCCTGAGTTCAAACCCCAATGCTGCCAAAAAAAAAAAAAATAAAAGCCTTATAGGGTGGTGGGTTCTCCTGTTACTCTGGCTCAGATCTCCCAGTGGGGGCATGGTCCTGTCTGCCTCAGGCTTCCAGCAATTCAGTCTTGCTGCACTCCCGGGAGCGACCTCCCAAGCAAGTAACACACAGCCTTAGATGTGCTGGTGCCGCTTAGTTTGAGGGGGCAGAGTTTTAATAAATTTTATCAATTTCCTTTTTGATAGATAAGTCGAATTTTGTACTGCCCATTTTAAACACTTCATAAGGTTTTTTTGTTTGTGTGCATAAATAAAAGGAAAAGGGTAAGAAAAAAAGTGAAAATTTCCGCAGGCCCCAGCACGTACACCCGGGCACCACAGCTACCCTGCATCACTTTCCCCCCAGCTAATGCTAGCTCTCCTACTTCCCCAGCCGAATGCATGCAGTATGCAGGTCATTGGTCACAGTGAGATTCTCTTCTGGCCACACTTTGGCATTTGAGGGACTCATGGTGGATGCTGCAGCCTCACCCTTTGAGTCACTTCACCAGGTCAGATGGGGTATATGCACATTCCAGCTCACCCAGCCCCCATCAACAGGAACTTACTCCTTGGTTTTGATATTTTTTTTTTGCTGCTACCAACAGTGCTGTAATAAACCTTAAGAATCTCTTCCTGTGTTTGTGCTTTCATATTTGTGGCCTACATCCCAGGATTTTAATACAAACCAGCTTTCCAAGAAAGTATAATGATTCACATACTTCAGTTTTTGAAATAACTGCAGAAAGTTTCAAATGTGGTTAATAAATTGAATCTGGGACCGTGGCAGGAAATTCAAGGGCATCTGGTGGTGCCTGAGAGGGAGGAGCAGTTAAAACCAAGAAAAAACAAAACAAAACAAAAAAAAAAAACCTGCAGTGGGCTGGGGTTGTGGCTCAGGGATGGAGCCTGTATGAGGCCCTGGTTTCCATCTCCAGACCAAAAAATAAGCAATCCATAAAAGCCTCCACTGTTGGTTGTATTCAGTGGACACAGGAGCCAAGGGGAAGATTTAGAGTGGCCAAAGCTGAAACCAACTGGAGCAATAAATAGCCTAGTGTTGGATTTTGCTCAAAGTGTGAAATAGATGAGTGTGTTCTGGTGAGTGGTTGGGGGAGAACCCATGGATCTGCACCAAATCACTGCCCCTTTGGAGATGTGGTGCCCCTCTTACTGGCTGCTAGTTGGGAGGAACTGTTCGAGGGAGTATTGGGCCCTGGTTTCAGTGGTCAACTTCATGGATGAGTTCATACCCAAAGGGGCTGTTGGGAGTTGAGAAGGTCGGTCACTGGGGGTGTGCCCAGTTCCTTCATCTCTGCTGCCACGAAGTGAGCAGCTTTGCTCCATCGCTCACTCCCTGCTGTGAGGTTCAGCCTGGCCTCAGGCCTCCTGCAGTGGGACCAAGCAGCCATGAACGGAGACCACCAAAACCCTGAGACAAGGTAAACCATTCCTCCTCTTTAAGTGTTTTTTCTCAGGTATTTTGTTACAGCAGCAGAAGTTTGACTATAACATCCCACAACCAGGTGGTCAAGGTGAATCATGTTGACAGTGTGTGTTCTCACACACTGGAGCGGAAGCTGGTATCGGGAATGTCCCAGTTGAGGGACAATCTACAGGATACCTGGCCAGTACTCCTTGAAAATGGTCAAAGCCATTAAACAGGGGAAGTCCTAGAAACTCAGCAGAGCCAAGAGAAGCCTGAGAGACATGATGTGCCCTGGATGAGATCCTGGGACCAAAAGAGGATGAGGGAAAAGGTTGATACACATGGTAAAAACATCTTATTAAATGGAATTCAGTTCACATTAGTATTTGTTCATTGATTTTGATAAGTGTGCCACACTTTGATGTTAATAATGGGGGAAGCTGTGGGGTAGAGGGAACTCTATGTTATCTTTGACCTTCCTGTAAATCTCAAAAGTTACTTGCCCTTTGCCTAGATTCCTCATGATTTTTTGTTTTAATGGCACTGGGGTTTGAACTCGGCCTCAGGCTTGCTCAGCAAGGAACACCTTGAGCCCTTTTAACTTTCACTTTTTTTCCCCCCCATAGGGTCTTATAACTTTGCATGGGGACCTCAATCCTTCTCCTTCCCTAGCAGCTGGATTACCACCACACCCCACCCACATTTTCTTAATTGGCAGAAATTGCATTTCATATTATTTTGCCACATTTTAACCTCTCATTTTCCTCCCTTCTCTCTTCATATTTATCTGCCCTGAAGCAAGAACATTCTCATACTTGAGACCACTATTAGAGTCAGAAAATTAGCATTGACATAGTGCTCTTCTGTACAGACCTTAATCAAGTTTTACCAATAGTCATATGTAATGACCTAGGATTTAAAAAATTCCTGGTTAGGGACTCAGTCAGTTGATGTTTGTAGCCTGATGCTTCCCTGTAGTTAAGAATTCTCAGAAGTTACCAGGTGCCAGTGGCTCATTCCTGTAATCCTAGCTACTCAGGACAGTTGCGGTTCAAAGCCAGCTCGGGCAAATAGTTTGTGAGACCATATCTTGAAAAAACCCATCACAAAAAAGGGCTGGCCAGGTGGCTCAAAGTGTAGGCCCTGAGTTCAAACCCCAGTACTGCCAAAAAAAAAAAAAAAAAAAAATCCCAGAAGTGACATGCTGTCCTTAGGGCACATGATAACAATTTGTCCCTTAGGTGTTGATAACTGATCCCTTGGTTAAGATGCTGTCTGTTCCACTTCTGGGGGCTATAAAGAGGCCAGAGTTTCTTGAGTGAGGGAGAGGCAGAGCGGTAACAAGTCAGAGGAGCCTTTAGCAAAGAGGAGTTTGGGCATTGTTGGAAGTGTGGCAGAAAGCCATTGGTCCACTACCTCACACTCTTCCCCTTCTCAAGGTTCCAGCCATACCAACCTCTCATGTCTAAAAACAGCAAGCTGTCTGTGCCTCAGGGCCTTTGCCCATGCTTTCTCTCCAGATTGGAATGTTCTCCCCTTTCTGGCTTCTTGGTTCTTTCAGGTTTGTCATTACCTTAGAGCGGCCCTCTTGGACCACTTTAAATCATGTCCACCCTTTTCATTTATTCAATAAATACATACTGAGCAACTACTGTGTGCCAGGTCCTATTCTAAGCACTGGAGGAACAGCATCGGGTGAGTGGCAAAGAAAAAGCCCTGCCCTCATGGGGCTTGCATTGAAGTCAGGAGAGGACAATAAGATAACTTGTGCTTGGTTAGGAAGAAGTGTCATGGAGCTCGTAACATCTGAGTTAATACCTTAAAGGAGGGTTGGAGGGGATGAATACGAGGGAAGAGAACTTCAGGCAGAGGGTACAGCCAGAGCAAAGGTCCAAAGGTCCTGGGATAGGATGGTGTCTGGTGTGAGTGAGGAGGAAAAGTCAAGGAGTCCTAGGGGTGTGTGTGTGTGTGTGTTGTTTTCCCCTCAGTACTGGGGTTTGAACTCAGGGCCTACACCTCGAGCCATTCTACAGCCCTTTTTTGTGATAGGTTTATTCGAGATAGGGTCTCAAAAACTTCTTTCCCTAGCTGGCTTTGAACTGTGACCCTCCTGATCTGTGACCTGGCTTAGGTGTGCACAGGACCACTGGCTGGTGTGGGGAACACACTGTGAGGGATGGGAATGGGGAGACCAGCCCGGAAGCCACTGCACTGGTTTGTGCTCATTATGGGAGACTCATCCCCATCACGCTGTCAGTGTAGACAGTGGCCTTGGTAAAGCAGGAAGGACACAAGGTAATTTATCACCGCTGAATACCCAAGCTTTCCTTAAATGTGTTCTTTGATTTGTAGCTCCGACTTTTTTTTTTTTTTGGAGTGGGACTGGGGTTTGAATTTAGGGCTTCACCTTTGCAAAGCAGGCGCTCTTCCACTTGAGCCACACCTCCAGTCCATTTTGCGCTGGTTATTTTGGAGATAGGGTATCATGAACTATTTGCCTGGGCTGGTTTTGAACCATGATCCTCTTGAGCTCAGGCTCTCAAGTAGATAGATTACAGCTGTGAGCCATCAGCGCCTGACCATCTTGAGCTTTTACTGTACCAGTCTCTATGCTGGACCCTTAATGAACACAGTCTTATAAGTGCCTCAGGACAACCCTGGTTAAGGTTTTGTTTTGTTTTCCCTTCGGTACTGGGGTTTGAACTCAGGGCCTACACCTGGAGTCATTCCACCAGCCCTTTTTTGTGATAGATTTATTCGGGTAGGGTCTCGAAAACTTCTTACCCTAGCTGGCTTTGAACCGCGACTCTCCTGATCTCTGCCTCCTGAGTAGCTAGGATTACAGATGTGAGCCACTGGCGCTGGCATGGCTAAATTTTGAAATAATCTGTTATGGTTGAGGTAAGTGTGGCTCAGAGAGACTGCTTCTAGGCAGAAGGAGGATTTCCTTCGAGCTACCTGTTGCAGTCACCTTGGCTTTTGCACCTGCTCTGGTGAAGTGAGCCCAGAGCGCATGCGCCCAGGTGCGCACAAAGCGTCTGCTGCTTGTCCCTCCCTCCAGCTGGAAGCTTCAGCTGTGGAGGATGCAGGTGAGAAATGGGGACCAGGACCCAGCCCCCAGCTTAGGCTTTGCACCAGGCACTCACCCTAGCCCCTGTCCCTTTCAGGGTCCCGCTGCCTCCCTCTGTCCAGAGCCTCTGAGCACTCCAGACCCTGACGGCCTCGCTGAGGGCTCAAGTAGCTCCCCAGGACTTCCGGAGAGGCCCCCAGGGCCATGCGCGCCGCCTGGCCTGGAAGAGGCGCTGTGCAGGATGGGGCTGGAGAGAGAACGCGAGTATGCTGGGGACATCTTTGCTGAAGTCATGGTGAGCAGGCGATCCTGGCGCCCAGGACAGCCGAGGGAGTCAGGTTAGATGAAGCCAAAGTGGGCCTCTAGCCCAACACCCACTTAACAAGCACTTTGGAACCCCAGCTCGCCAGCCTCTGCTGCCATGCCCCCGTTCCAGTTTCTAGGAACTTCTTTTCCCCTCACCCAGTAACCTGCGCAGTCTCCACTCTGCATCAGTCGATTCATAGCCCTTACTAGTTTAACAACTGTTTAGCGATTGTTTTTGAGCACTGGAGATGCCAGGATGGACCCCGTCCTCATTCTACCAAGACAGACGAGCAAATAATCTGATAGTTACAGAAGACCACAATGACCAAAGCATGTCATGCTCCTCAGACACCTGTATGAAATGCGCACTCTGGAAGAGATTCTGAAAGGAGTACATTTATTTAGCTGACATGTGCGAGCCTTTTTCCTGGGCGGGGTTTCTGTGCTAGGAATTGAGAGTCACCTGTGTTCTGGACAGAAGTCCCTGTCCTCAGGGTGCTGTCGGCCTAGCAAGACAACAGACAAAACACACAGGGAAACAGCAGGTCTCTTTAGAGTGAACATATTCAGGAAAATGAAGTGATGAGATAGTGATCCAGTGGAGAGAGGTGAATAGGGGAAAATTTAGCAGAGATCTGAACGACAGAGGCAATGCAAGGAGCTGGGAGGACCATTTCAGGCAGAAGGAATTGGTAAGTAGGAAGGTCCTGGGATAGGAGTGAATTTGGCAAAGCCTAGGAGCCAAAAGGATGGTGTGGATAAAATGTGGGGTGTGAGGAACTAGGTGACATTGTGTCAGGGGCAGAGTCTGAGAGGACTCAGGATTTTTCTAAGTGTACAGAGAGTCGAAGTTTTAAGGTGGAGAGTTCTTTGGTCAGTTCTGCCTTTGGATGGGAGGGGGAGGGGTTGAGGGGCAATAGCTATGAGGGGAGTCTGAGAATCTGGGGGGAGCAGCCAGGAGGCTGTGTGGCCATGGGGACCTATACCCTGGAGAGGGGGTAGGGAGGTAATCTAGAACAAAGTACAGAGTTCTGGATGGGGACCCAAAAGAGGACAATTGGAGGCTAGTTTGGGTGTGGCACTCCTGAAGCACAGGTGCAGAGAGTGAAGTCATCCTTGCTCATCCCCAGGTGTGCCGTGCACTACCCTGGAGGGCCCTGCCCCGAAAAGTGACTCCCGAGATGCGCGCGCTCGTGGTGGACTGGCTGGTCCAGGTGCACGTACGTACTGGAGAGGGTGCGAGGTTGGACCTATGTCTCCACCTTGGGATCCTGGTGGTCACCGGTGCCCCTCCCCAGGAATACCTGAGCCTGGCGGGAGACACGCTTTACCTGGCCGTGCACCTGCTGGATTCCTACCTGCGTGCAGGCAAAGTGCGCCTTCATCGCTTGCAGCTGCTAGGCATGGCCTGCCTATTCCTCGCGTGCAAAATAGAAGAGTGCGTGCTTCCTGAGGTACTTCTGGGGTGGGCTCTTGCACTGATTAAAAGCCTCCTGTGGGCCACGTGCTTTACTTCTCTTGGGATCCCAACAAATCTGTATGAGTTAAGAGCTGCCTATGTGTCCCTTTAGCAGAGGAGACTGAGGCTGGGAGAGAGGAAGACATTTGTTCAAACTCAAGCAGTTGGGACTTGAGTAGCTGTAGTAGTTACAACCTGTCTTGAGCAAACAGGCATTATACTCAGCAGGGCGCTGGTGGTACACGCCTGTAATCCTAGCTATTCGGGAGGCTAAGATCTGAGGGATCTTGGTTTGAGGCCTGCTCAGGCAAAAAGTTAGACCCCTCCCCCATCTCCAAAATAACCAGAGCAAAATGGAATGGAGGTGTGGCTAAAGCGGTAAAGCACCTGCTTTACAAAGCCCAGAGTCCTGAGTTCAAACTCCAGTCCCACCAAAACCAAAACCAGATAAACTCGTGCCTCATCAGAACTGCCTGGCAATGTGGAACGTGGAGCAGGGAGTATCATCTCGGTTTTACAGATGAAATGGGGACCGAGAGCTTAAGTGAATATCCAGTGCCACACAGTGACAAAGTTGTGAGTCAAATCAGATCGTTTTGACTCTGAAGCCCGTGCGATCCCTGATTTCCAGACAGAAGTCAATGGTCTCACTTTATATAGACCAGGAAACTGAGGTCTGGAACTTGAACTGACCCCATCCCAGGCGCTTCAGGGCAGGGAGTCCAAGGCGACCCTACATTGCCCCTCTCCCATCCACAGCCTGCCTCCCTCTGCCTTCTGAGCGCCGGCTCCTTCTCACGGGCGGAGCTGCTGCGGGCCGAGCGCCGCATTCTGAGCTGCTTGGATTTCCGGCTGCATCATCCCGGCCCATTGCTGTGCCTCGGGCTATTGGCGGCCCTGGCCAGGAGCAGCGCCCAGGTGCTCAGGGGTGGGGGCGTGGCCAAGCGTGGTGGGCGTGGCGAATATGGGCGTGGCCTGACAGGCATCCCCGCCTCACTATCAGGTGATGCTTCTTGCCACCTACTTTCTGGAACTGTCCTTGCTGGAGGCCGAGGCCGCGGGATGGGAGCCTGGCCGTCGCGCAGCAGCGGCTCTAAGCCTGGCGCACCGCGTGCTGGAAGGGGCGAGCTCCAGGCCCGAGCCGGCGCTGTACAGGTACACGGCCTTGGAGAGGGCGGCTTCAGGAATCGTCCTTTCTGGTCTTTACTGCCTCAGAGAAAGACGTTTATGGGCAGACGCACCTGGACTTGAGTTTTCTGGGTGTGGGAGAGAATGGGATGTCTGCCTAGCCTGGAAGAATCCCTTACCTTTTTCTGGGGGTGTCTGTAACACACTTGGGGACCCAACCTTGACTCAGGGTGGAAGACTGGGTCTTTCCAGGCTCGGGAGATGCTCTGTGTTCCAGGTTTGAGAATAAAGGGGGTCTGCAAGGCCTTGAGTCCCCCAGCCCCCTAACTATGCTCGGATGTGGTATCCCTTTAGCTGGTGCAGTCGATGACCCTGTTAACCACCAGGGCACCAAGTGAAAATGAATTATCTCCCAGCTTGTGCCCCCAGGGTGAAGTGGTGGGTACCCATCCTCAGTCCTACTCCTTCCCTCCCCGAGGGTCCTGGCTTCCGCTAGCTGCACCCAGTGGGAAGAATCGGGTGTCTGTCCCTCCTAGATGCCCCCTAATCACGACCTCAAGAGGTTCTCGGCCTCGTGCTTCCAGCTCCGTGGATAGGTCAGCTCCCCCTCCCTTCCCTGCCTCAGTTTCTCTATTTCCCCAATGCAGCTCCGCGGAGCTGGACCCCCTGGAGCCATGCATGGTCCGAGCTGCACTCCGAGGCCCCGCACCGGGCCGCGCCGCTGTGTTCCTCAAGTATGCGAGGCCCCAGCGCCAGGGCACCAGCCTCACCGCCGCCCACCTGCTCCGCCGCCCGCAGCCCGGGCCCTGCTGAGAGCCCAGACCAACTCTCTAAAAGTTTCTTTTATTCTGAGTGCTCTCTGTCCTCCCTGGTCGCAGTCCAGCCCCGCTCTCGGTTCTGATTGGTTGCTTTCTAGTCCTCTCATTTCTAATTGGATGTTATTTAATGGGAGCTATAAAGTAAATTCTAAACTCCTCCGCAAGGGGGCACTGGCGGACCCCCCAGCACTGCTCATCAGGATAAAAGTGGGGTTCTTTCAGGGTCGGGAAGAAATTGCAAGAGATGAGAACTGTGGGGAACTGAGAGTGCCTGCCCCAGTCGTAAGGAATGCTAACTCGATGTTGCCAGCTTTTCAGCTACTATTCACGTGAATCCGAAAATCTACAGTTGTAGAAAAGCTTTTGTATTTATGCTGTCAAGTAATTCGATATTTTTAAAATAGTTGTACATGTCTGACACGTCATCAGTTTGCGAGTCTTTGAGAGTGCGTTTAATAAATGAATCTGATTTACTTAATCCCTGAAGGACCACAGTGTCGATAATTATAGCAGCAACCTCGCAGTGGTGTGGGGAGGATGTGATTTAATATGTATGCAATTTTTTAAGACAACACTGATATCTAGGTGGTGTAAAAGTGTCGCCATTTAATCCTACCAGGATACTCGGGAACAATTGTCCCCTGTTCACTACAGTGTCCCAGCACCTAGTCATTTAGTAAATCAGAAAACATGTCTTATGAATCAGTGAATTTCCATGGTCTTTTGTCTTTTTTTTTTTTTAGGATTTCACTATGTAGCCCAGGCTGGTCCTGCTTCAGCCTCCCAAGTATTGAGATTACAGGTATGCACCACCATGCCTGTCTCAGGTTTCTCCATTAAAACAAACACCTAAAACACACCGAGGTGCAGACAGGCAAGTGCATGGCTGGAGAATTCAAACTCAGGAGTTTTAGACTTCTAACCAAGCCTGCGTTTGGAGGTGCAGAGAGAAACACGTTTCTACCCATGAGGAGTTCAAGGTTGGACCTCAGAGATGAGGGAGTGATCCAACAAAAGCATTTTAAAGCGGGGCATCAGTGGCACTCGCCTGTAATCCTAGCAACTTGGGAGGCACAGATCAGGAGGATTGAGGTTCAAAGCCTGCCCAGGAAAATAGTTCACAAGACCCTATCTTGAAAAGCCCATGACTAAAAAGGGCTGGTAGAGTGGCTCAAGTGCAGTAAGAGAGGCGAATGCTGCCTTTGGGGTGGCTGTTTGGTGGAGCCTGCCATGGATGTCCAAGGGCAGGAAATGTAGTGAGGGCGGGGTTGGGAGGGGAAGAAGACGATGGAGATGTGGGCTTGGGGCTTGGTGCTGACAGACCCAAGACAGGGTTTTGGAAGAGGCAGAAGAAATACATAAAAAGCTACTCACTACTCATTCAACACTTCTGCACGGTTGCTGACTCTGTGCTAGGGATTTGTGATCAAGTAACTCAGAGTAATGGGTGGTGAAAAAGTGTCCACTGTTGTGCCAGCCCTGTGCTCAGTGCTGTACTGCATAACCCAATTCCGGCCCTGCAAACGCTCACAGGTAAACTTACTCGATATCCCCATGTCACACAGAAGGAAGTCGGAGTGGAGGAAGACTAAGGAACTTGGCCATGGTCTCACAGCTAAGGCAGCTCATGAGAACTGAAGGGCAATTACTGCCTTCCACATGTGTTTCTCTCTCTCTCTCTCTCTCTCTCTTCCTTTTTGGCAGTACTGGGGTTTGAACTCAGGACCTCCCACTTGCTAGGCAGGCACTCTGTCACTTGAGCCACTCCCTCAGTCCTTTTCTGCTTTAGTTATTTTTTCAGGTAGAGTCTTACTTTTTTTTTTCCCCCTAGGACCAGCCTCAGACCAAGAACCTCCACATAGCTGAGGTTACAAGTGTGCACCACCACGACTGGCTTGTTTGTTTTAATGGGGTCTTGTTAACTTTTTGCCCAGGCTGGTCTTGAACCTTGATCCTCCAAATTTCTGCCTGCTGAGTAGCTGGGATTAAATTTCCTTTCCTGAATCTCCTTTTATTATTGTGCTGCTAGGCTGTCACTGGAGAGTTGTCTGCTTACTCACGGGTTTTTCCATGCACACTGTGAGCTCCACAGGGCAAGAAGCAGATGTCTCTTGGATGTCATGTTATCTCCTCCTCCAGGAAGCCTTCACTCACCACCTCAGCCTAGGGCAGGTGTTTCCTCTGGGCATCTCTCCACCCCAGCCCCAACCCTCTTCCTGTGCTTCCCAGGCTGGCTCACTTTGGGTTGTCACTGATCACTGGTTTGTCTCCATGGACTGGGAGCTCAGTGAGCGAGGAATCTGAAGTTCTCACAGTCTTTACTATGTCACAGATCATACAAGGCAGAGCTGGGCACAGCGATCCGCCCATATTTGTTGCATTAAAAAAAAGAATGAATTCAAAGCGATGTTATTGTTCCATGTACCAGATAGAGTTCCAGGTAATTTAAGCGAACTTCCCAAGCATACACTAGTGTCAGAAAATAAACAGAGATTTGAATTTGGGCACCTTGAGTCCATATCCTGTGCTCTTATACAACATGCCAAATGGCTAGTGGGCTGGAAACCAGCTTTCCACGAGATTGATATCTTCCTGCTTTTCCCCTCAGGCTCATCCTTTGCTTCTAGAAATATTGGGGAGCTTTGGACATGGGGGAATGAAGAGAACGCAGGAGGGCGTGAGGGTAAGGGGAGTGGGAACAAGGAAGATGCAGCTGGAGAACTAGGAATGGGGTTGCGTGAGAGGGAGTCTTTGAGGGGGGCTTCTTCAGACCCGTAGAGGGCAGCTGGAGTCGGCAGCCGGAGGTGCGGAGGCGGAGAAAGGGTGGGGACCGGCCCCGCGGGGGGCGATGCGGTAGCTGCAGCGGCGGCCGCAGGAGTTTCCCACAATGCAGCGCGGCGCGCTGTCCCCGGTGCTGATGCTCAGCGCTGCCCCGGAGCCTCCACCGCGCCCGCCTCCCGCCCTTTCCCCGCCAGGCCCCGGCCCAGGCTCCCGCCATGGCTCGGCTCGGCCAGGTCCTGCCCCAGAGCCGTCGGGGGCCCTGGCTGCAGCGCTCGACAGCAGCCTACGGGCTGCCGTGGCGTTCAAGGCGGAGGGCCAGCGCTGCTACCGAGAGAAGAAGTTCCGGGAAGCCATCGGCAAGTATCATCGGGCACTGCTGCAGCTGAAGGCGGCGCAGGGAGCCCGCCCTGGAGGCCTGCCCGCCCCCGCTCCTGGGCCCGCCACCAGCCCGGGGCCGGCCCGCCTAAGTGAAGAGCAGCGGCGCCTGGTGGAGAACACGGAGGTGGAGTGTTACGACTCCCTCACGGGTACGGGGCCGTCGGGGGGCACAGAGGGGCATGTGAAAGAGAGATGGGGAGTGAGGGGCAATCAGGAGGCCTTGGGGTTGGCTGGGTGGGGGGCGGGAGAAGGGGAACTTGGAGGCTGCAGGGGCCAGCGCCATAGTCTGTTGGGAAGACCTCAGAACTTGATCAAGGAAAGGAATTGAGAGTAGTGAACACGTTGGCCTCTGGGTGGATGAAGAAGGAATGCAGGAAGCGGGCTTAGGGCTGGGTTGTCAGAACCCCGCTACACTGAGTCATGTTTTCCTCCTCCTGCCACACGCAAATCTAAGGTGGTAAGAGCCTACCCTGGGTGAGCTATTCATTGCCTGGTCCCTCGCCTCTGCGAGTGTCCTGAATACCCAAACCTCCGCCTAATCTCGGGAGAGATTTGTCTGTGTCCTTTGCGCCCTCTAGCGGCAGCGCAGATTGACTCTATTCCGCTGGGCTAGCAGATTGGCGCCCCCTGGTGGCCATAGCAATCCCTTAGGCTGAGGGGCAGAGGCCCGGTCCTTCGAGGTCACGTGGTTTCTAGCGGGCGCCCGCAGGTTCTGAGAGTACCGGGCATTCCAGCTTGCTTGCTGCAGTCGGAGCTGGTGAACTATGAGCGCGTGCGTGAGTACTGTCTCAAGGTGCTGGAGAAGCAGCAGGGGAACTTCAAGGCCACCTACCGCGCGGGCATTGCTTTCTACCACCTGGGCGACTATGCACGCGCGCTGCGCTACCTGCAGGAGGCCCGCAGCCGGGAGCCCACAGGTGAGGCGCAGGGTAGGACGGAGATGAGGTCTGGGCAGGGGAAAGGGCTGGAGCAGAGGGAAGAAAGGCAGGAAGATCAGGGCAGAGCAGAGCTCTCCTTCCACAGAGCTGCCTCGGGGGAGTGATGTGCACCCACTGGAAGACTCCTCTTCACCCACCCACTCCGTACACACCCACCAGTCCTTCCTTCGTCCATCCCTTCATCATTCAAACGCCCGCTCACCCGTCATTCCTCTGATGTTTACCCGCACACTATCTCGTCCTGGACCCATTCTGATCCCTCCTTCGCCCAGCGCCCTCCCTATCCACACAGCAGTCTCATCTTCATTGCCCCCACCACTACCACCCTCATTCGCTAACCATTCACACACGCGCCTACTCCCCTCCCCTCATCCACCCAGGGCAGGTGATGCCAGGAAATTGGGGTGGGGGCAGTGGGGTGGGGATGGCAGAGCTGGAGCATGTTGCCTGCTGAAAGATCTTGTCAAGGTGTGTGTGTGTGTCTTCGTCAGTTTTTCTGTTTTTTTTTTTTTTTAATCAAGAGCCAGCGAGGAGAGGTCCCAGAGGTGCATGATGCAGGGTTGTGGGCGAAAAGATGCAAGATTACTTTTCCTTTGAAGGGTTCTGGTGAAAACAGATGTCACTGGGGGATGAGTGGAGGTGTGACAAGAGGCTCGCTCTGTGAAGAGGCATTCCTGGCAGAGTGCAGCACGTGCAAAGGCGGGGAGGTGTGAACTGTCTGGTTGAGGCTGGGACTCTGCGGAGGGGCTCTGGCACTGCATGTTTTGGGGAGGAGCCACTGGGGATGGGTGGCATGAGTGTGAACTGAGATGGCGCAGCTGTCCCCTGCTACCCCAGACACCTAGATAATGCCCTGCCCCCATCCCTCACAGACACCAATGTCCTCCGCTACATCCAGCTGACTCAGCTGAAGATGAACCGTTGCAGCCTCCAGCGGGATGACAGTGACAGTGGGGCTGGGGCCCCTGCTCGCGATGTGGTTGGCTGAAGCCAAGGGGCTGTCCCTACCCCACTCCTCCTCACCTCACGGTGTAACTCCCCCTCTCATGTTTGCCAGTAAAGCACTTGTCACTGGCGACCATAACCTTTGTGTGGTGTTCTTGTGGGGACCAGGGAGGGGACATGGGCCTAGCTTAGTGACCCAGAGATGCCTAGTGAGGGCCTGTGGGGTGAGGGTGTCCCACTGGGAATGAGCACCATCAGGGCCTGGGCCAGGAAAAGACACACGGCTGAGTGGGGTAGGGGGCTGGGGTTACCTTTAATGCTGTGTTTTGTGCCAAATCCCCCATGATGCCCTGTCCCTGAGAATCCCTGCCCACCCTCCCCCCAGCTGCAGGGTGGGCTCAGGGCTCCGCCATCTGGGGTACAAAGGAATAAATTAAGTGCCCCCTCCCCCCTTCCCCAATAAATAGAGTGAGTATCCTGCCCAGGCCTCCCCCGCCTGGGGCATGGCGGGCTGCAGCAGGGCCTGGGGCGCTACATTCATGGCTGCCCAGGCGGGCGGTGGTGGGCAGGCCTCAGCGGGAGCCATAGGCCCCGCACAGGGGCACTGTGTTGTCCTGGCTCTGCCCCTCCATGTCCATGTCCAGCAGCGTGGGCTGCATGCTGGGGGGCCCAGGGCTCTCCGGTGTGTCTGGCCTGCTAGGAGGCGAGATGCTGAGAGTCCTGCCAAAGGAGACCAATTTCCAGGGGTCCAGGCGGGGACGGCTGGCAGCTGGCCGGGGCCTTGGGGCGAAGGTCAGGGTGGTGGGGCGGCCAGGGAACTCTGGGGGTCGACGGCGGGTGGGGAACAGGGCCTGGGGGTCAGGCAGGCGGGGGAAGTCCAGGGGGTCTCGAGGGCCTGGGGAGAGAGGATCACATAAAGTGGGTGGGTGGGGCAGGGTAGTACTCCAAAGCCAGCAACTTTTATGTGAAAAGCGGAATTTTCGGCTTCTTTTGAAAAATCCTCAGAGCTCCTCAGATCTTGCTGGGCCAGCTTTCCAGCAAGACCACAGCCATCCTCAGCACTGCACTTGGCTTTGACCTAGGTTCCCATACTCACAATGGCTCACTTATCTGGGTAGGACTGGTTCCTTAGCCTTTTGGAGCTGGTTTCTTTCTTTCTGTTTCCCTTTTTTGGTAGTACAGAAGTTTGAACTCAGGGCCTCGCCTCCAGTCCAAGAGAGTGGCTGTATTGTGAAGTTTTTGGGTTTTTTTTTTTTTTTGGCAGAACTTGGGTTTGAACTCAGGACATTTTTTGTGTTGGGATTTTTCTTTTTGTGGTACTGAGGTTTGAACTCAGGGACTACACTAGTCCTTTTTTGAGAAGGGCTTTTTCAAGATAGGGTCTTGTGAACTATTTGCCCAGGTTGGCTTCAAACCTTGATCTTCCTGATTTCCTGCCTCCTGAGTAGCTAGGATTACAGGCATGAGCCACCAGTGCCAGTTTTTTTTTAAATACTGGGGATGGAACCCAGGGCCTCATGCATGCTAGGCAAGTACTCTACCACTTAGCCACATCCCCAACTCTTCTTAGCTTTAGTTATTTTTTCACGTAGGGTATTGCTTCTTTTTTGCTCTGACTGGCCTTTGACAGTGATTCTCTTACCTATGCTTCCCACATAGCTGGGATCACACACATAGCTGGGATCACAGACACACTCCACCATGCCTGGCTTGTTGGTTGAGATGGGGGTCTCTAACTTTATGCCTAGCAGGTCTTGAACCTTGATCCTCCGGATCGCTACCTGCTAGTAGCTGGGAGCCACCTAGCCCTGCCTGGAGTTGCTTTCTAAGTAGCACACTAGCCAAAGCCCTGTCCTTCCTCCAGAAGGCTGGGTTTGGGTACACACCTTAGGCATGATTTTCTGGGCAGAGATCAAAACAGACCTCACTACCAGGGGAGGGTTAGCTAACAGTAACTGTAGGACAAGCAGGGCAGTGCTAGGTAGTGAGTACCCAACACCTACCCATTGCCATCTTTGTGGCTGCGAGCAAGGAGGTGAAAAATAAATGCTACACTTGTGCAGCTCTAGTTGCCTGCCGGGCCCTGGCAGGCATTAGGTTACCACCCCCTAGTTCATCCTGGGTCTCAGTCATCCCAGGGCCCACAAAGCTTCCAGCAGAGTTGGCTGGGCATGCAGACCTCCCTCCCCCAAGCTAGGCATACGCTGTTGCCTTAGGTCAGTGGGGCTCTGACACCGGCCCTGCGTGTCACCGGGAAGGGCCCTTTCTGTCCCCTGGTTGTGCGCGCAGGCCTCACTCACCCGCGCTGTGGCCAGTGGGCTCGGGTGGCCCCCGCTGGCCCAGCGCTCCATCGGAAGGCGTCCGCCGGTGCCCACGGCTCACGGTGCGCGCGGCGGTGACGTGGGTGGGCGTGAGCGACTGGCGGGGGTCCTTCTTGAAGCTCTCCAGCTCGAGGTCCACCAGGGGGTTGCTGTTGGGCAAGGGCACAGGAGGGGAGGGCGGCGGAGAGGGCGCAGCCGGTGCGGCCTCATCGCTGTCGGAGCGCAGCAGGGATCGCGTGGAGTTGCAGTCGGACACGGATGACAACGACACGAGGGTGGCCGAGGGCGCCAGGCCCGGGCCGGAGGCCGCGTCGTCGCGGCGGCCCAGGGGCCGCCCGGTTGGGCTGAGGCCCCGCGGGAAGCGGCCCGCGCGGGGGAAGAGGCCGTCGAGCCAACGCCGCTGCTCTTCGCCGTCGGCCGCGCGCGCCTCGGCCACGTCGGCGCCCAGGCCCACGGCGCCCAGCAGCGTGGCGCAGCCCAGCAGTGCCAGGTCGCAGCGCCGCCGGGCGCCGTGCCCGGGCCGGGCGGGAGGCGCAGCCGGCGGCGGCTCCCACGGCGCCTGCGCCCCCGGGGAGGGCTCGGTGGGCAGTGGCACCGCGAGGTAGGACGCGGTGCTGTAGGGGGAAGGGGGCACGCTGCTGCCTCCGTCGGCCTCCGCGAACTCCTCTGCAACAGGGAAGGGCATCAATCGGCTGCTCCGGGCCCCGCGGGCTCCCGGGGACTTAGGGACACCGACTGCCCCCACTGACCTCCCCAACAGCAAGACTCCCAAAGCACGTTCTTCAATCTTTGTCTCCCAAAGCCTCTGAGGAGAGTGCCCTTTGCCCTGGGAGTAAGCCACACGTCCCAAGGACCTGCTATCCCTCTTCGGGGTGCCCTGTGACGGGCTCGCCCCGCGCCTGGGATTCTGCTCCCTTCTGGCCAAGGCTTCTCCTCGCCCCTCCCTCCGCAGCACCCACACCCTCTTACCCATCTCATTGAGGCTGGCGAAGCCCGGGGCAATAGGGGTGTGTTTGGGGGATTTGCCTAGGTTGGGGGCGCTTGATGACCACTGTTTGCTTCCTTCCCCCAGGGCCTTGAGCCTGCAGGGGGCGTGGAGAGATGGGGCTCAGCCATGGCTGCCCCGGGCCTGGGTGGACACAGGGGCAGGTGCGCTCCTACAATACCTCTCCTCTCCTCCAGCCCGCTCCTTCTGCAGGGTGGAGCTGGGCCCCCATGTCCGGCCCTTCTTCTTGCCCCCAACCAGTTCTTCCTTCTTTGGAGGCCCACTGCGGCTCCACGTTCCACTGCCACCACTGCTGCTGCCACTGCTGCCGCTGCCACCACAGTCCACAGGAGTCACTGGGTGGAGAGAAGCCAGGTGGTTACTCAGTCTTAGAGAGCTTGTCCTGGCTCTTTAAGACTCCAGTCTCCCCACCTGGATCCACTCTCCTCCTGGGAGTCCAAGGGACCTTTTGGACTCCAGTCATGACCTGTTCCTGCTGTAAATAGTTCCCCACTGCCTGGACAAGTCCCAGCTTCTGGGCAGGACATTTGTGGCTCTTCCCCAAGCCCCTCTGTCACCACTCCTCACACCCTTAGCCTTCCACCCTTCATTCTGGTTGGATGCTTGCCCTCAGATCTCCGGCCCTGAGTAGTCATTTCTCTGGAGACTCAGTTCTCTTTTCTGTTCTTCCCACACTCTGAACATACCCTGGTACTAGTATTTGCTAGCACTGTATGGTTGTCTTTGTCCCTGCTAGAAGGGCCTCCTAGGCTTGGTACAAAGCAGGTGTCCAGGAGGTGGACATGGTGCATATCTGTAATCTCAGCTACTCAGGAGGCAGAGGTAGGAGGATCATGGTCCGAGGCCAGCGTGAGACCCTATCTGAAAACAAACTAAACCAGAAATGACTTGGGGGTGGGGCATGGCTCAAGTAGTAGAGTGCTTGCCTAGCAAGTGCAAGGCCCTGAGATCAAAACCTAGTATTGCCAAATACAATAAAATAAAAGCAGGTGTCCAAAGGGTCAGGCTGGAGCCAGGGGCCAGGGTGGGGGTCACGATAGGGTGGAACAGAGCCAGGAGTCAGGCTTGCACCCTTGAACCCAACAGCAACTCCACCAGTTGTACCTCTGCCACATGACCCTATGACCATCTTTCCTTTCCAAGTCCCCCACCCTGGTCCAGCCCATATAATTTCATTGGCTTCCCTGCCTTTATCTCTCACATTAGGCAGAGAGAAGGAGAAATGTGATCCTATCACGGCTTTGCTCACATCCTTCTAGGATCTCCCTGATTAGGACGTGGGGTGTAGATCAGTGGTAAAGCATATGCTTAGCATGAGGCCTTAGTTTTGATTCCCAGCATTGCAAAGAAGATAAAATAAGGAGGGAAGGAAGGGCTCTCAAGGCCCTGTGTGACCACAGAATAAACCATTTTCTCCCTGCACTCTCACCAAGTCAGCTTCTGGGCTGGGAGACATGCCAGGCTCATTCTCAGTCTTATGCCTTTGCTGTTACTTCTGCCAGGGGAACAATCCCCTCAGATCTGAGTATATCTCACTCCTTGCACCAAGAGCCCTGTTTAAACTTCAGCTCCTCAGACAGAGCCTCCTCTGATGGCTACTTTTACATGTCATCTTGACTGGGCAAAAGGGTGTCCAAATGGCTCCTAAAACATTATTTCTAAGTGTGTCCATGAGGGCACAATGCTAATCTGGGGAAGATTAGCATCTGAATGCGTAGGCAGCATACGGGTACCATCCACCCATTCCATCTAGGATCCGAACAGAACCAAAAAGTGGAGAAAGGTGGACTTGCTTTCTTTGCTTGAGCTGGGGCAGCCATCTTCTCCTGCCCTTGATCATCAGCACTTCTGGTTCTCAAGCCTCCTAGACTTGGACTGAAAGGACAATACTGGCTTTTCCTGGGCCTGCAGATGGCAGATTGTGGACTTCCCAGGCTCCACAATTCTGTGAAACAGTTCTCCTCTCCTCTCCTTTCCCTTCCCCTCCCCTCCCCTTTTCTCCTCACCCCTTCCCTTTTCTCTCCCTTCCTCTCCTCTCCCCCCTCTTTCCTCCCCTCTCCTCTCCCCCCACTTTCCTCCCCTTTCCTCTCCCTTCCCTCCCCTCTCCCCTCCTCTCCTCTCCCTCCTCTTCCTCTCCCAGGGATAGAATCCAGGGCCTCACATACTAAGCATGGACTATACACTGAGCTACTACATCCTCAGCCCCAATGTCTTCGTTTATTCCCTTCCCTGATTGTTCCTGGAAATTACGTTGCTGCTTACTGATTTATTTGTTACATCACCCCTATGAGAATGGGGGAAGGAAGGGGTTCTGACTGTCTTGTTCCTAGCTGTCCCTATGGTCTGATGCCAGGTATGTGCTCAGAGTGTTTGTTGACTGACTGGTGAGGGCCCTGTAGATACTCACAGCGAATGGCCCTCAGCCGGGGGATGATGCTGGGGCTAGCAGGGGGGCTGGCCCCATCGGATCCTTTCCGCTTGTCCAGGGTTGGAGAGGCCTGGACTGTGATCTTATGCTCAAAGCCTGCAGGAAGGAAGAGAGTTTGCTAAGCAAACAACTCCACATGAAGCAATGGGAAGCTTCCTTTGTAGAAGGCTAGAAGAATGACAGCGTGAGAACTGCACTTTAATTCATTAACACAGTGGATCTCAAAAAGTGGTCCCCAGACCCACCAGCACCAATGTTGGCTGCAATTCTCTTAAATGCAAAGCACCTGGCCCTTCCTAAGTCAGCAAGGCAGGGGCAGAGGTCCGAAATCTAACTGCACTTGACTTAGGATCTAGGCTGGGGGGTCCAACATGGTAGCCATTAGCTACATGTGGCAATGGAGCACTTGAAATTGGCTGAAGAACTACAGTTTAATCTTTTCTTATTTAATTGTAACTAAGTTTAAATTTAGAAAGACACTTAATTTGGCTACTGGAGACATTTAAGCATGTTTGGAACAACTGGACTTGTGAATCTACTTTTCTTACTCTAAATTTTATGACATATAAGTATAGATTAAAAAATTACTGTTTTTTTTTTTTTCAGTGCTGGGGGTCAAATCCAGGGCTTCTTGTATGTTGGCAAGTGCTGTATCATTGACCCCACGTCAAAAAATTTTTCTTTTTTGGGTTTGAACCCAGGGCCTCATGCTTGCTTAGACGAGTGTTCTGCCACTTAAACCAGGTCCCCAACCCCTTTGCTTTAGTTTGTTTTTCAGATAGTATCTTGCACTTTTGCCCTGGCTGGCCTTGGATAATGATTCTCTTACCTCCACCTCCCAAGGAGATGGGATTACAAGTGTAAACTACCACACCCACACTGAACTTCTGTTTTTATAAGTCAGAAATGGCTGAACATCAGCAATTTCATCTGGTTTAACCTCATAGCACTTTCCATGGATTTAGGGGACAGAGGGGCATGGCAAATGATACTGGGGGAAGCAAGCAGCAAAAATCCTGGCTGTAGGGAAGTCCATAGGACTTGCAAGGGGCAGGGGAAGTGGAAGGAGGCAGATTAAGATTAGAAGGTATTTAAAAACTGGGCATGGCAGCGCATCTCTGTAATCCCAGCACTCAAAAGGCTGAGGCAGAAATGAAAAACTTAAAAAAAAAAAAGTCTCAGAGTTTGAGGCCAGTCTGGATTACATAGTGAGACTCTGGGCAAATACTTCATGAGACCCTAGCTCCAAAATAACCACAGCAAACTGGTCTGGAGGAGTGGCCCAAGCAGTAGAGCACCTGCTTTGCAAGCATGAAGCCCTGAGTTCAAACCCCAGTCTCACCAAAAACAAAAAAGAAAAAAAAAAAAAAAGCAGACATGATTGCCCTAAGAGTTACTCTGAAGGGTGGACGAAGAGTGTCTGAGGGGTATGTGGAAAGCATATCGAGGGCTGAGAGAGTCTCCGCTTTCCTGAGGGATGATTGGAATAACTCATTCAGCCCTATAATGTTTTGTGGGAGGTTTTGGTCATTTTATTCCCCCTCCCCCACATTGTTCCTTAGTGCATATTAATTGTACAATGCGGGAAGTTTCAGTGTGATATTTCCACACATGCATGCAATTGACTTTGATCATGCTCACCTCCTCTATTACTCGTTCTTATGGGTTCTCTCTTTTGGGGTAACTTTTTATATGCGATATGTTCAGAAATTAAAAAAGCTATCAAAGGGGGGAGGATGTAACACACAACACACACACACGCATGCGCTGGGAGGCCTCTACCCAGGATGCGTGGGGTGGGTGTACCGGAGGGCAGGCTGATGTGGCTGCCTCCTTCCCGCAGCTTGAGCAGGCGGCTGCGCTTGAAGTTGCCCTTGCGTTTGCGGACCCTGGGCTTCTCCTGGCTCAGCTGGCACATGAGCAGGTGCAGCTCACGTTCCACGATGTCCATCTCACGCTCTGCCAGCTCCTGCTCCCTCCGTCGCAGCTGCTCCTCCTGGAAGCGTTGCTCCTGTGCTGCGCGCAGCAGCTCCTCCTCCCGGCTGCGCAGCTCCTGGTGGGAGATGCAGATGCGGGAACGGGCCGGCTTAGCCACTCTGCCTCTGCAATAGTCCCAGGACTGCTGGGTTTTGTTAATGCCCTGCAGTGGGGTACGCTGGGCTCACATTTCAACTCCCACTTCACTCTCTGAGCTTGGTGGCCGGGCTCATTTCAAAGAAATGAGTGCTTTCTCTCTCCCCTTAGTATTTTAGTTTTTTTTTTTTTTTGGCGGCACTGGGTTTTGAGCTCAGGGCCTCATGCTTGCTAGGCAGCTGCTCTACCACTTGAGCCACTCCACCAGCCCTTCTCTGTGTTGGGTATTTTTGAGATAGGGGCTCTCGAACTATTTACCTGGGTTGGCCTTGAACCATGATCCTCCTGATCTCTGCCTCCTGAGTAGGTAGGATTACAGGTGTGAACCACTGGGGCCTGCTCAGGGTGCCTTTTTCTAATCAGTGTACCGACTGGAGGCTGCCCTTTCTTAGTATCAGCGCCCCCCACCTTACCCCTGCCCTCACCTTCTCCTTGGTCCGCAGGTCATGAAACATGTGCTGGATCTCCAGCCTCCAGTCCTCCTGCAGTGAGTGGAAGGACTCCAGCGGCATCTGGAACAGGGCTGACTGTTCAATGGCTTCAAGCCTCTTCAAAATGCTGCCAAAATCTGGCCGCCCATGCGGGTCAGGGTCCCAGCATTCTGGGGTAGGAGGGGAAGGCACAGTGGGAGGGATGGAGACATTAGCAGTCTTAGTCTGGGGCATCGGCCTGCTCAAGGAAGACAGGACTTCTGGGGGCTGGGGACAAACAGCTTTCCTGGAGCAGGAGGGAAGAAATTCAAAGCCACCATGGCAACGTGTCCCTGTAAAAGGCTGGGAGGGACCTGCTCCCTCTGGAGGGTCTGGTGTTGGAATTATGGGACAGGGTGGATACCCTTAAGAGCTCTGGGTCTGGCCAGAACAAGGGAGCCATGGAGCTGACCATGGGGAGATGCCTGTAGTCGCTGGGGTTCCAGCACCTTCTCCCCAACTCCTAAGCCCGCCCATAAGGATGGTGTGAAGGGGAGAGGTCTGGAGCAAGCCCCCCACCCCCCCAGCAGAGCCTACCCTCCCACAGGCCCTGGCTCACCCTCCAGTAGGCGGGCAAAGGGCTCAGGGCATGTGGAGGGGATGGGCAGCATCAGCTTGCTCATAGCCACGCCATACGCCACAGCCAAGGCATCGATTTCTCGGTAGGGGACCTCACCCGTCAGCAGCTCCCAGAGCAGCACCCCGAAGCTGCAGATGGGGAGAGGGAGGCGTGATGCCACAGCCCACCCCAATCCTCAACTGCACCCCAGTCCTGCCTTGGGCCCAGAGGGCGTCTCCCTCACCCTAACATCCAGCCAGCCAACAAGGCCATAAGGACCTAATTTGAATTCTGGGGGTCTGTTCCCCAACAGACAAGATGGAGTTGGTGCTCTGATGTCTCCCTGTGCTCTTTCTCCCTTCCCTTGCCCCTGCCTGAAAACCTTCCATGGGTTCCCCATGCCCATCCTTCTCAGCCCTGACCTTTGATGGCCCCTGCAGCCTCGCCTCTGAATATCCTCAGCCTCATCCCAACTCCAACTCCATCTTGCAGTCACACTGAACGTAAGACCTGTTCTCCCAAACCTCTGGCCTTTGCACGTGCTATTTATTTACTTTGCTGAAAACACTCTTTCCTTTGTATAACTATTTGTTCTTCAAATTTCAACTTAGGTTGGCCCCTCTGCCAGGAAACCTTCCTCAATTCCACAGCCTCCAAAGTTAGGTGAGAGGCCTCTCCTCTATATTCCTTCAGAACCCACAGCACTTAGCTCTAAAAACAAATTAACACTATCTTACACTTATAAAGCATTTACTCCAGGCCAGCCAACTCTGCTAGGCCCTCTCAGCAATCCTCACAATAGCCCTGAAAGGCAAAAGTACTGGCATGATCCCTGCTTCATCTGATGAGCAGATACAGGCTCAGAGAGGGTAAGCTGCTTGCCCAAGGTAACACAGCTAATAAGTTGTGGAGCCACACTTGGACTCAGGTCTGTCTGATGCACATGATAGTGCCCTGAATAGTTCATGATACCAGAGAGTACTGCTGTCACCTGAGTGTCCACCTTTCTCAGTCACCTATGTGTTCTTCTGGATCCTGATTACTGTTTTGTGCAGCTTCTAGTAGGTAGTAGATCCCTGTTTACTACCAATAGGCACTCATGCATTCATTCACTCAACAGACTACTAAGTGCCTTCTGTGTGGCAGGCACTTTCTAGGCACTAGAATAAGGAAGACATAGCTGCTGTCTTCATGCTGCTAACACCCTCCCCTTCTTCCTCAGTAACTGCACTGGTGAATCTGAGCTGGGCATAGGCTGCCTGAAATAATTTTCCATCCTCTCGTACAGCTAAGATGCTCAAAGGACTATGGTTCCGGCCAATGGGATGATGGAGATGTGGAATAGAAAAATAGCTTACAGGAAGTGTCCTTAAAAAGAAGGGGTGCTCCTTTCTTCTTTTCTCCTTCCTACTAGTTGGAATGTGAACATAAAAGCTGGAGCTCTAGTAGCTTTTTGTATTATGAGGCAAACTTGGGAATGAAGCCCACCCAAGATGGAGGAAAATAACAGTGGCTTTCACCTGAAGGTGCAAGGATCTCCCTACTGCTTGCTCCCATGTGCCTGGACACCTGTGGGATTGTGTGTGTGTGTGTGTGTGTGTGTCTGTGTGTGTGTCTGAGGTTTGAACTCAGGTCTTCACAATTGGTGGCTGGGGACCATTGTATTTAGTATCCTGAGAAGTACGAGACGTACCACACAAGAAAGAATTATCCAACACCGATTTGAGGAACCCAACATAGAAGGAGCCTATGATGCTGGGACACCATATCAGTCCTGTGTTTTGCATGAGAACAAAAACTGCAGTTTTCTTTTTATTTGGGGGGTTTCTCTTCCTTACAGTTGAAACAGATGTTTGGTGCCATAAATGATCGCCTGATGGAAAGGCAGCCGGAATTTCTCCAGCTGAAACTGCTCTGCCCTTGGGGAAGCCTGAGACATCCTGTCTCATTTGTCTCTGCCCCACACCCATTAATTTGCTGCATGGACAATCTGTAGGCTCAGCTGGGAACTGAAGGAACAGCAAATGGGAAAACCTGGGTTTGGCTCCAACAAGTAGAAAGCATCAGCTTGACAAGTTTCTATTCCAACTTTCACTGCCACAGACACAGCCTCCTTGTTGGCTTCCTGCCACCACTCCTGTCCCCTAAGATCCATTCTCCACCTCACAGCCAAGGGGGCTTTTAAAATGTTCAATCAGATCACACCACGCACTGTACTCAGAGTAAAGCTGGAGACTGTGCAGCTCTCACAGTGTTTCCTGCTGGCTCCTGCCTGCTCTGCTCCAGCCACACTTTATGGAACATACCAAGCTCATTCTCATGCAGGCTTCTTGTCACTCAGAACTCAGCTAACCTATCATTTCTCAGAAAGCCTTTCCCAAAGTGGTCCTTGACCCTTACAGTGCCTTCCTATCCACTACTAGTTGTTTGTCAATTTTCTGAACTTAAAAACAGCTTTTTTTCCTGTTGGCTTCTTGTGGATTTTTTAAACTATCATGAAGGCAGGAACTCTGTTTATATATGTTCACTTCTGCTTCCCAAGAGCCAGGAATTGGATGAGGGAAGGAATGGTCACCTCAAAAGGCCTTGATTTCCTGTCTGACCAATGGGCACAGGGAGGCTAAGGGACCTTTTAGTGCTGACATCTACATCCCAGCTCTGTCCTTTGAATTTTTAATTCTAGTTCCAATCCCTTCTTGGGGCCACCTATGCTGCCAGGGACATGGCCCAGAGGGGCTGGAGCTGGAGATGGGGTCTCTCTCCCAGCAGCCCCCACTTTCTCCCTTCCCTACTTCCCAAGGCCACCCTGGCCCTGCCTCTCAGCACCTCCAGACATCGCTGCTTTTGGAGAAGAGGGAGAGGCGGATAACCTCAGGCGCCATCCAGGCGTAGGTCCCAGCAGCGCTCATTTTGGTGGTCTTGTGCCACTCACGGGCGAGGCCGAAGTCTGTGATCTTGAGCACCGTGTCTGTGAGGTTATGGTTCTCGATGGCCTCCAGGATCAGAACTAGGGGGAGGAGGAAAGGCGGGTCACCCACCTGCGGGTACAGGCTGAGGCATGCAGTCCTCTCTGGGAGGCCCCACTCTGCAAAGCTCCTTCCTGGCTTGGAATCCTGGAAGTCCCTCCTTGTATCTAATCCCTGTCCCAGGCTCCGGGAAGAAGGCAGGAGCTTCCCCTAACTTCTGACGCCAGCCTGTGCTCTAGGGAGCTTAAAGAGTAGCCATGAACTAATGGCCATGGGCCGCTTCTCCTTCATCCAGCCTTGACTTCCCTGCCAGTGCAGAAGTGGGCCCTGCAAACCATGAGCAGAAGGGAGGAATGTGGTCCTCCATTTGTCTTTGTCACCCCTGTGCTCTCCTGCAGGCAGGAGTTGATGCAACCCTGTCCTGTGTCCACACTTTGCCATGTGACTTTGCAGCTCTTTCCACTAATGAGGCAGGTTGCATTTTCCCATCCTTAACTCGGGATGGCCTATGGCTTGTTTGGCCAAGAATGAGGTGGACATGACAGGGGTCAGTTCTAATTGTAGGTGGGAAGAGGCCATGAGTGGCTGCTTGCATGCACCCTGGAGCTTCCCCATCACCATGACAACATGTCTTGACTAGCCTCTTGGTCCAAGAAGATGAGAAATACTTGGAGCAAAGCTTCTCCAGCTGAGTCCAGCTAACCTGCTTTGCCCTCCCTCCAGTGTCTCCAAGTGCACAGGCCACAACAAGCAATTGTTTTAAGACACTGAGTTTTTGAGGTGGATTGTTATGTAGCATCATTGTGACCAAATCTGAAACATCTGAGCATACTGAACAGTTCCAGCTGACCTGCTGCCTAGGGTTATCACTAACAATGACAATCATGGTTAGTGTTTAGAGTGGGGCTAAACACTGACTCACAAGCAATCCAATTTTATGGACTAGCATACAGAGGCTCAGAGAAGTCACTTAGCCAAAAGTATTTGACTGGCTAGAAAATGGCAGGACAAAGACTTCAACTATCCCTGTCACCAGAGCCCAATGTCATACTACTTCAATATCTTACCACCTCCTGTCAGAGTACAGTGTGCACTGTCTGCCTATGAATCTTGGCCCTGCCGCTTTAGCTGCATGATCTTGCATAATTTACTTCACCTTTACACCAACAGTTCTCTTTGGTTAAGTAGGACAGTATTTACCTTCTATGGTTGTACAGTAAGATTTATTGCCTGAAACAGTAAGTCCTGTTGCTATTAGTGTAAAAGGTCCCTGTAATTCCTCTTTATTTCTCCACCTTTATTTTCCAGCATCCCTGACTACTGCTCCAGTCATGACAATAATAATAATGAGGTAATTCTGTCATGCCTATGTGACAGATGAAGGAACTGAGGGTTAGAGAGATCAGCAAATTACCCACACAACTGGCCATCTAACCCATCTTTCAAAACCCGTCTCAATGCCATCTCCTTCTGGAAGCCTTCTGTGCCCTCACAGTCTGTGACTCTACTCCCCCAGATGCCCTCCCGTCTCAGGTCCTATTCCCCAGCTCCCTCCTGTAGAAACTCTGCGGCAGAGGGAACATGTCCTGTCTCACACTTTTCTACATCTCCCAAACCGGTCCCAAGTCAGTCCCCTGTGCAAATCTGTGCCTTACCAAGTCGCTCCTGGCTTGAAACACTCCAGAGGCTTCCACTCCATCCCAGAAAATATTCAAGTCTTCTGCATGGCTCCTGCCTACCTTTCTGATCTTTTCTCCTCCACCTCTTCCTCAACTCCTGTGGTTCTGGTCTTGTTGCATTACTACCACAGCCCCACTCATTCCCATCTCAGGACGTCTGCCCTGCTGTACCCCTTTCCCCAGGTCTCTGTAATGATTTTTTTTTGGTGGTACTGGGGTTTGAACTCAGGGCCTTATGCTTGCTAGGCAGGTACTCTACCAGCTGAGCTACTCCACCAGCCTCCCCAGGTCTCTGTAAAACTGGATATTTTTTGCTCAGATCTCTGCTTAAATGTTGTCCTCCTTGACTACTCCATCTAAAGAGCTCCCTCTGTCCCAACCTTAATCTGCCTTATTTCCTTGAGAGCCCCTGGCACCCTGAAATTTTGGTATGTATTTATCCATCCATCTATCCATTCATCCACGTATCTATTGTCACATAGTCCTGTTTACTAGCATCTATGTTCCATAGTGAGAGGACAGATCTGACCTTGTTGACTTCTATAATTCCAGAGACAAGGACAGTCTCTAGCATAGACCAGGTTCTTAAGAATTACTGAACTAGCTATGTGCTGGTGACTTACATCTGTAATCCTAGCTACTCAGGAGGCAGAGATCAGGAAGATCCCATTTCAAAGCCAGCTACAGGCAAATAGTTTGAAAGACTCTATCTCAAAAATAAGAAACACAAAAAGGGCTGGTGGAGTGGCTTAAGTGGTAAAGTGTCTGCCTAGCAAGCATGAAACCCTGAGTTCAAACTCCAGTATTAAAAAAAAAACAACAAAAAAAACTACTAAACTAAAGCAGATTAAAAAACAACAACAACAACAAAAAAACTACTAAACTAAGCCAGATTTGAGGCTTCTGGAGGAAGGATAAATGGGACACCATGCTGTGGAGGATCTGTGTCCTGTCTGGGGCATGGAGGAGTCCCATTGTTCCTTGAGGAAACCCTGGCCTTAAGAGCCCAGTCACCCTTTATCCAGGTCCCACTGGCTACAAAAAATTGGGGTTTGCCCTGAATCAGCTTGGGTGGGGAAGGGCCAAGAAGGAGCCCAGCCTTTAAGAGGAACATGCCAGCTGGTCCTGCCTCCACTCACCCAGCTCAGAGGAGTTGGAGTGTGGGCATCGGGGAAGGCAGGGCCCATCTGTATCTGTCTTGCCCAGTCCCCAGTCTGGGCATAGACCTGGCCATGTCATGGGTACTTGGTAGCTATCTGTTGAGTGGATGAATGCCAGGTTGAGGTGAGGACCGCTCAGTCCCTCTGTTCTAGGGGCTTACAGTTGTAATTGGTAGTAGAATGGCAACAAACTCATAAAAAATAGTGATGGATTCAAACAAATCTGAAGATGTAGAATTGACAGGAAGCAGGGATAGGACGTGAGCACTTAGGGCAAAGGGTGACCCTCATGTTTCTGGGCTTGGGTGTGAACCATGTGAGGATAGAGAACATACTGGCCTTGTAAATCCCAAATGAAAGAATGAAGACATGAATAAAAAAAATGAAAGGGAGTGAGACTGGGCAGAGCAAGAATTTGAGAGCTAGGAAGTATATCCCTACGAGTATCTGATACATGGCCCTCCAGAGCTATTTGTGGAATGAATGAGTGAAATGTCTAGCTTATTATTATCAGGGCAGAAACTAGGTTTGACTTGGTCCCTGTTGGGCTCCTAACTTAATAGGTGCTCAATATTTGCTGATGCTTCTTTTTTTGGCAATAGTGGGGTTTAAACTCAGGGCCTCACACTTGCTAGGCAGGCGCTCTACCACGTGAACCACTCTGCCAGCCCTTGCTGATGCTTCTTGATTCAAATATGAGTCTTGGGGAACTTTCCCTTCCACCGGGATTCAACCAACCAATCAACTTTGGAGAACCTGTGATCAGCCAGGCAGCCTGGAAGCTTCCACATAAGCTACATATGTTTTCCTCTTCCATCTTTTCCAGTCTGCCTCAGAGGCCTGACAGTGGTTCTCAACTGGAGGCAATTTTGCCCCCAAGGGGAATAAGGTAATGCCTTGACACATTTTTGGTTCTCAGAGCTGAGGACAGGAGTGGGAAATAACGACATCCAGTGGATAGAGGCCATTTGTGCTGAAATGCATAGGATAGCCTCCACAACAATGATCAGGCCACAAATGTCAACAGTGCTGGAGTTGAGAAACCCCGACTCCAGGTAAGCTAGGTTCTTTTTGTCTTTGCCAAGTGGACTCTGGCACCATGAATGCATGGTGAACACCATGAAGGCAGGCTCTGCCTCTGTCCTGTTTATGGGAGGAAACTCAGGTCATCACAGTGTTCATGGAGACATGTTTATTGAGCTATGGAGATTTTGTAGCCTGGGAGTTTGGTCCTTCAATCTTTCTGAGCCTCCTTCCTCTCCCTTGAGAAGCAAGGCCTGCTTCACTTGGCCCTGAAGGTGTACTGCTGCTCCTTCTTGCCCCAGACACAGTGCCACCTGGTGTCCCTTACCCTGTTTCCCACCACCTAGGCCTGGCCTTGCAAGGTTCTGTGGAACCTTGAGTAAGGTTCAACTTACTGTTGATGGACTTGAGGTCGCGGTGGATGATGGGCACAGGGGCATCGTTGTGTAGGTAGTTCATGCCCCTGGCCACCTGCACGGCCCAGTTGACCAGCACGTGAGGGGGCACCCGGCGACCAGCCAACACTCTGCTCAGTGCACCTCCCCTGGCGTACTCCATCACCAGGCAGAGGTGTGGTGGGCTGAGGCAGGCGCCCCTCAGGGCAATGATATTGGGGTGCTGCAGAGCTCCAAAGAGTCGGGCCTCCTGGCACACCTGCTCTGCTGTCACTGCCGGATCCCGTTCAGGGTCCAGCCGGGCGGCCTTGACTGCTACCTCCTCGCCGCGCCATAGGGCTCGATAGACCTTGCCAAAGCCCCCAACACCGATGATCTCCTCCAGCTGCAGCTCGTGGAAGGGGATCTCTTGGGGCAGCTGGAGGCCTGCAGGTGCGGCGGGTGCGGCAGGGGCCACATAGTTACTGGGGAAGACACCCACACGGCCACTGGGCAGCTGCCCGGTCCACCAGCCCTCATCGCCGGACACCGCACAGTCCTGGGAAAGCACCTGGACGCGGTCGCCCCTTCGCAGGGTCAGCTCCTCGTCGCCTGCCGCCTCGTAGTCGAACACCGCGGTCCAGACAGGCCCCGCGGGGGTCGTGCCCCACTCCTTGGCCGCCACCCCCTCCTCCTCCTCCATGGGGGAGGGGCCGGGGGCTGCGGGAGGTCGCTTCACACAGGCTGCCCGCGGGATGCAGAGGGCGGGCCTGGATGGCCGGGATGGGGGACAGTCCCTGCGGGTCCTAGGGGGCTCCTGGGGGCCATGGCTAAGGGAGCCCTCCGCTGGAGCAAGGAAAAAAAAAACCTCTTTAAAAGGGCAGGGCCGTCTCCAGTGATTCGGTTGTCCAGGCGGGGCGGAATGGGAGTAGGGCGGCAGGTTCACCTGTTCCCCACAGATGGCAGAGCGCTAAGAGGACCTGGCCGCGCGGTTCCCGAAATCCTGCCGGGGCCCGCGGGTAGGAGCCGAGGGCGAGGACAGCGGGCAGCCACCCCTCCTCGCACCTCTCACCCCGCGCAGCTCCACCGGCGGTCCCCGGCTCCGCATCCCGGGCCACGACCGCCGAGCTGGGCGGGTGTGATGGAGCCCGGGGGGCGGCCGCCCCGGAATGGGGTGGCGCGCCCCTCGGCCTCCTCACGTGCGGGGCGTTCGGGCGGCCCCCATCCTCTGCACCGGGCTCCCGGTCGGCCCCAGCCCCTGCCCCCGCCCGCGCCGCTTCCCGGGGCCGCTGGCGGGGCCGGGAGTGACGTGTCGCCGCCGCCGCCGCAGTGCCGCCTGGGAGTTGTAGTCCCCGGCCGCGCGACCCCGGGCCCGCCCCAGCCCCACCAGAGACCCTCTGCCAGCTTCGGGCCGCCGTGGGGACCCCACGGGGCTGATGGAGGCCTGCTGGCAAGATAAGCAAGGCGCTGGACCTTCCTTCGTCCCGGAGGACTGGGCGCAGGGAGATGGGGGCCAGCGCTCCCCACGGACCCTGTGAAGTCCGCGGCCCAGGGTGAAGTTGACGGCAACGCACGGGCTTAGCAAGGCGAAAATAGGAGCTGATCGAATGGAGGATACTATCTCGAGACCCAAACGCAGCCTGGTCAAGGTCCTGGCGCTGGACTGTCCCTCGCGGTTCCCCGGCGCGAAGTGCACGCCGGGAAATGTAGTCCCCGCCCTACCCCCACCCCCCCCCAACCCCTGAAGCCCGCGAGGCTCCTGCATGCTAGGGGCCGGGTCAGTCGGACAGGAAGAGGGGACTGTCTTTGGGGGTGTCACAGCCATGTCTGCTTGTCCCATCAGCTCTGGGGGTTCCTCTGCCTCCACAGTCGCAACATGTGCTCTGCTGAATCCCTCACTCCCCAGTTTTAATGTGCACCTTGTGCTAGGTACTTTGCATACAGGGCATCATTCGGCCTTCACGATGATTTTACAGGTGACTTACAGAGAAGCGAAGTCACTTGTCCAAGGTTACAAAACTGTAAATGGCAAAGCAAGAATCAAAGGCAGATTTTAAAATTCACCACTGTCAGGATTTTAAAACACTGCCTTCCCATTGGCACAATGAGAAAACTGAGTCCTGTGAAGGTTCAGTGAGTTGTTCAAGATCTGTAAACGTGTAAGGCTCAAAATTTGGGGCCATTTCACTTGACCTGTCCTAAATGAAATGTTCTGGGAGTCTGGAGGGAGAAGAGAGAAAAGAGGAAGCATAATCTGGTGCTCAAATTCCAGAGAACTAGGTCGCAGGAAATCGGTCTACTCTCCGATAGAAGTGGCTGCCTAGTCTTCTGGCTACGTCTGGAAGAAAGGCCTGGCTTCTTTTTGAGTACAGGTGTTTCTCCTATAACCTGATATTCTTATAAAATCTGCAGTTCTAAAAGTAACAAGATCTTAAGGGGAAAACAGAGTTAGTAACAGATTGCTCAAAACTTGTGCAATTTTATAAACAGTGCTACAAAACCAATAATGATCCTGATAGAAATGCTAGTACAGTTCAATTTCTTCAGGCATTTGCTGTCAGCAACTACTTTGCAGCCTTAAGGGCTAGGCTAGGGCCAAGGCTTGTGCTTCCTCCTTGGAGATACTGGTCTGGTGTAATATTCTTTATTTAACTGTCTTGTTATTGTTGTTGTTTTGGTGGTATTGGGGATTGAACTCAGGGCTTTGCACTTGCTGGGCAGGTTCTTATCACTTGAGCCACTCTATCAGTCCCATGGTGATCTTTAAAGCCACTAAACAAATGACTGTGGATCTGACGAAAAATACTTCTGATTTGCAGGGGTTTCTCCCCCCTCCTCCTTCCTAAATAATATCTTTTTATAGCCAGATGTATGTGCACCCAGGTGGAGGTAGGAAGGTCCAGAGTTCAAGGCCAACCCTGGCAAAGTTAGATCTTATCTTAAAAACAAAATGCAAAACAATAGGGCTGGAGAAAGGGCATAGATCAAGTGGTAGAAGAGCTTGCCTACCATGCCCAAGGCCCTGGACTGTCAAAAAATATATTTTTTTATTGCTAAGATTTTCCCTTTAAGTGTGAGAATGCTTGTCTCTGATTGCTTCAAAACGTTAGCTTCTTAGAGAAAATTGCACATCAACGTGCTTAGGTTAGGCTAACATCATTTGTTGATCAAATGTCCAGGGAGTGATTTGTGTCAGTGAAGCAGGTGGGCTGTGGAACAGTTGTCTCCAGGTAGGGACTTGAGTAAGGAAAGGGACCTTGCTGGGTTGTAAGCCTGGGTGGACCTTGTCATGGGAATGGGGTGGAAAGGGATGGACTTTGCCAATTATTTTGGATTTTGATGTGGTAACAAGGAAGTTATTAATTTGGAGAGATCTTAGATTCTTGCAATATTGAGTCTTTCGTAGTTTGAATGTGCTTTCTTCAGTTCACTCACTGAGATTTCATTGTTTTTACTTATTTGTGGGTGGGATTTTATTTATATTTTCTAATCAGTTAATGCTACTGATTTTTTAAAATGCTAATGCAAGGTAGCATCCAACTACCTTATTTGTTCTGCCCATTTTTTTGTATTGTTGGCAGCACTGGGGTTTAAACTCAGGGCCTCATGCTTGCTAGATAGGCGCTCTGCCATTTGAGCCACTCCACCAGCCACTTATTTGTTCTAGAATAGCTTCACAGATAATTCTCATTTTTCTGTCTAGACAGTTGCTGTCAAAAATGTGAAAATTACAGTTTAATCTTCCAGTTCTTTAGAACTCATTTCTCATGCCCTTCTCCAGTACAGTGGTGAATGGTAGGGGTATTAATAGGCAATTTGTGTCTTTGGGAGGCGAGCAGTACTGGGATTTGAACTCAGGGCATTGCACTTTCGGATGTTCTTCCACTTGAGACACTCTACCTCAAGGTTTCCCCATGTCTTGTTCTAGACTTTTGAAAGGGTAATCCTGAGATAGCACCAGTTTCCAGTATATTTCTAGGACAGCTTTTTATCTAACTTATTATGTGCTATGTGCTATTCCTAACTTGCTAGGAGTTTTTTGTTGTTGTTGTTTTGTTGTTGTTTTGGTGTTTTGAGACACAGCCTTGCTAGGTAGCCCAGGCTGGCCTTCATCCTCTGCTTCCTGAGTGCTGGGATTGCAGGTGTACACCATCATGCTCTGCTTAAAAATTTTTCCACCCTATTTTTCCTGTACCGTTTCTATCTTTAGATATATTGAGACTCACAAATACTTACTATTGTGTTAAGTTGCCTACAGCATTTAGTGTAGTGACATGCTGCATAGGTCTATAGCCAGGAGCAATAGACTACACCATAGAGCCCAGGTGGGTATGGACTATATGATCTAAGGTTGTATAAGTACACGTTATGTTTGCACAATAAAATCCCCTAGCCGGACGCTGGTGGCTCACATCTATAATCTTAGTTACCCGGGAGGCTGAAATCAGGAGGATTATGCTTGCAAGCCAGCCTGGGGAAATAGTTTATGAGACCCTACTTCAAAATAATACTAAGCCCAAAAAGGAGTTGGTGGAGTGGCTCAAGTGGGAGAGTGCCTGCCTAGCAAGCGTGAGGCCCTGTACTGCCAAATAAAAAAGAGTCAACTACGAAAAGATAAACAAGAATCCATATATCTAGATATTGAAAAATACATTTCCAAATAATTTTAGTATTATAGAAATGAAATTACATTTTTTGGGGAACTGAATAACAATGAAAGCATCATACACCTAAACATTTGTATTAGTGTATGATACATGTGCTTTTCTTTTGGTGTTACTGGGGTTTGAACTCAGGACCTTCACCTCAAGCCATTCCACCAGCCCTGTTTTTGTGAAAGGTTTTTCAAGATAGGGTCTTTCAAACTATTTGCTCAGGGCTGGCTTCAAACCTCGATCTTCCTGGTCTCTGCCTCCTGAGTAGCTAGGAGCCACTAGCATTCGGTCCTCCATATGTTTTTAACTTATAAAAATGGTATTCCATAGAGTAAGACTGAAGGAAAGGATATGATGGTATGAGAGCACAGACAAAGGCACCAAACTTGAACTTGACATAGAGCCTTCACATGTCACAGAAGGAAGAATTCCTTAATTCTCCTGCCTCATCCACACGAGCCAGAAGCCATATGTGCTTCATAGCCTGACATTTTTGAAATTTCCATGTCAGGACCATGTACCTAGCACAGCTGTCCCATGTCAATATACCACAAGCCACGAACAGACACCTGGGGTCCTCAGATACAGGGCTAACCTTAAGCAAAACTGAAGTGGATGAATTTTCCCATAGGATGCTCCCTTCTTGGCAGACAAGTTTCTGATCCTTGAACAAGTTTCAGGCATCTGATTTTCTGCCCATCTCCCCATCAAAATGTGCCTTGTGTTCCAACAAAGGTGGAAGGAAGATTCTCTCTCCTGAGTAGTCAATTAGGTTGACTAATTTTGTCAACCTGACCTCTAGGCCCACTTCCTAGTTCCATGGGGATTGAGGCTGTTGGTTTTTGTTGAACCCAGCTCTCACTATGTAGCCTGGGCTGACCTGGAACTTGATACCTGCCTGCCTCAGCCTCCTGTGTGTAGGATTATAAACTGCACCACCACGGTTGGCTGGATTGATGCTATTTTGAGGTACTAATTGCTGCAAGTTGGAACTCTTCTGTTTTATTTCTCTTTCAGATCTTTTTAAGAGGTCCCATTTCTCTTTAGATGATGGCTTAGCCAAGAGGAAGGACCCAAGCGTCTAGGACCCTAGCCCTTTCCTACTCCCTGTCATTGAATTAGAAAGCTACATGATATATAAGTAGTTGTACTTAAGCACTTACAGATTAATTGTATCCCACCTCTAGTTTCCATGGACAACAACTCATTCACTCATGCATCTAATATTATTTCTCCCACTGAGACAACCCCAAGGGATTGGTACTCTCCAAACACCAGGCACTATCTGATAGAACCTAAATTGTGTTCCTCCCCTTCACGTTCTAGATTGGAGTTCTAGCCCAGAACCTCAGAACGTGACTGCATTTGGGGACAGAGTCATTAAGGATGTGGCTAAGTTAAAGTAAGGCTGCTAGGATGGACTCTAATCCAACCTAAAAGCTGGGCACCGGTGGCTCATGCCTGTAATCCTAGCTACTCAGGAGGCAGAGATCAGGAGGTTCATGATTCGAAGCCAGTCTGGGCAAATAGTTTGTGAGACCCTATCTTGAAAAAAAACTCACAAAAAAGGGCTAGAGGAGTGGCTCAAGCAAACCCCAATACTCAAAAAAATAAA